TAGATTGTGTTGAAATGTTTTGGATTTTCAGGATAGTTTTAGATTTGAATCTTAAATATCTTACCTCCAACATCTTGTGACTATGTGGGAAATAAATGTTCACTTTGACATCCTATTCTTTAAATACGTTTGTTTCTTTGTAGGATAATCCAGACATAAATACAATCAATATTGTGTTTATAAAAACATGAATAATAACCACTGTAAAATGCAATATTAGTAGCATGTTAGCTAACATACCCTAGCTAAGCTAATTTGATGACTACTACCAATCATCTGTGCTCATCTATTACAAACGCTTCAAACACACATCAAATATATCCCTATACTGTATCTGTGAATGCACGTTTGAAAACTGATTGGCAATACCAAATCACAAAGTTAGTCTTAATAACAACATTAAAAGATAGATGTTGTAATTTCTGTTGCTTGGAAACACTTCATCCATGTTGAATTCAATCTTGATGGGGTTTATTTTCCACACAAACTCACAATTACGGCTTGACGTTTATCTACTTTAGAGTCGGGTTTCGAAAAAGAGAGTTTTTATTAGTGGAAAATGTCTTAGTTAGGATGGAAGGCTAATCTGCAAACACACACACACACACACACACACACACACACACACACACACACACACACACACACACACACACACCACACACACACACACACAACCATCCATATTTAAATCAGACAGCAGCTTGTGTCTCCATCCAGAGAGCACCTGTAAATAATGCAGTGTTAAAGGTGGCAGCCAGGAGAGAATTAGAGGGCGAACAGGTGGAGATGGGACCCCTCCAACTCCACCCCCACACACACACACACACACACACACACACACACACACACACATTCTCTTCCTCTCTTCCTCCTGTGCACCCACCCACCACGACACACACCCCGATGCCAAGTCTCTCAGTCCTCCGCAGTGTGAACACCACAGGTGCTGAGCCGCAGCGGGCCCTGGGGGGCCGCCGGCCTTTCCTCTCGCCATACTCAAAGCAGTGATGGGCAATAAAAACACTTCACACCTTAAGTGAAAGATACGACTTTAAATATTTACACACATTCTGCATATGCAATTTATCCACACCTGGCTCTTAGCAGCAACAACATCTGCTAGCTGTTGCTTTAGAGGCAATTAATTTCTCATCCGAGCGGCCAGGGTCCTCTCGGAGAATCCGGGAGAAGGACTTATGGTTTCCTTACTGTAGATGAGCACAAATGTAAAGATTACAATGCAGTTAGGACTCGGTTCCCACGGGACAAACCAAACTAAACTTTCGGCATTAACATTTGGTTTTACAGCAGAAAGTGTTACATTGTGTCATTCAAATGTATACATATTTATAACTTGTCTTTTAATATCTTATTCAAATGCATTTCTTTACATTTAGAGGGTACAATGAAGTAAAGGACGTGTCTTGGTGGATGTGGCTCAGTGGAGTAGTGCACCGATCTTTGGATCAGGGGAGAGCAAGTTCGAGTCCCACTGCAGTCAGCATGTTGTTGCGTCCATGGGTTAGAGACAAATTGCTCCCGTTGGGATGACCGCAGTACTGAATGGATGTTAGTCGCTTTGGATAAAAGCGTCTAACAAGTGACACGTAATGTCAAGTCTTACTGTATCTGAGTGCTATTGCATATAAACACATCAGAATGCTTTCCTTCCTGTTACTTAATTGTATGTTAACATGAGTTTTATTTCACAAAAAAATTGATAAATATCATTGAACATTATTATAAGTCGATCAAATATGAATTATTGTATGTTTTTGCTGGCTTCTTGGATTGATAACATCTATGGATGCCTGCACACACAGATTTAAAAAAGTGAGCGACAACAATGACAGCAGACAGAAATGCTGATTTTGTGTCCTGACATCGTTAAGGCCAGAAGCATTTGTGTCCCCTTTACTGATGAATTGGGCAGAAAGCTAAATCTGTGTGTGAATGTCATTTTGGACGGGCATTTGTCCGGGGAAACAAGACGGATCTGGGTAACGATGAGAAACAATTGTCTGCTGAAGCCTGCAGAGAAAAACTTTTGATTATCAGATCGCTCACAGTGAGTAACTGCTGAGTTAATACTTTTGGCTATAAACATTTAGGTTGATTACACTACTTTGACTTCATCAGAAACTGACCTTTGAAGACAGTAAATACGACTGGTTATCATGATGGAGTTAAAACAACACCTAAGTAGTATATTGAGTTAGGACTGATTGGCTTAAAAGCGTTTATTCTCCGCTCTTTTTCATCTTCAGAGCCGGAAATCACTGCCTTCCTGTTGTCTTAATGACCTCAGATATTTACCTCCCCTCCGCACTGATAGGATTCCTTTGTTTAGTGCCGTCTTTTCCCATGGGAATGAAAGTAGATGAGAAACTGTCCTGCATTCTCATAGTGGGACACCATATCAGTCTCCAAAAACAGTTGCCTCTCTCTCTAGTTTCATTCAAGCAACCAGTCGTGGGAAGTAAATAAAGTACATTTACACAAGTCTTAAGTAATGTTTTGACATATTTGTACTTTATACTTCTACTCCAGTACATTTCAGAGGCAAATATTGTACTTTTAACTCCACTACATGTATTAAAACTCACAATTGCTTTATATAAAAACACACAAAATGCTATTATTTTGTATTACACAGTTTGTGGTGAATTTTGGGGGGATTTCAGGGTTGATTGTTTAATATCTCAAATGGCATTCATCTGGGGAGATCTGCTTTTTTAAGTCACTTTGAAAAACCTTATTGTTTAAGAAATGCTTTTATAAGATTGTATTTATGTTTTATTATTTCATATTTGTTTTAATGTGTATTTGATGTGTTTAGACACTCTTGTTCGGTTATTTTGTTCTTATTTTTTGAACTAACTATGTTTAAAAGGTGCTATGTAAAAACATTTATCATAATTATTTGAATATTTTTGTTTCTTTGTCTTAACATCCATAAATCAAATCAATAACTCTTTATTTAAAATGTTTTATACAGCGATTAAAACCATACAACACAAGTAGTACATTAGCTAGCTTACCCTAGTTAAGCTAATTTGGTGAACACTTCCATTCATCTGTCCTCATCTAACATGTCATAAACTACAAAGACCTATGAAATATATTCTTATATATTGCTATACGGCTGTCTTTTCCCATGGGAAGCAAGTGAGAACTGTCCTGCATTCTCAACGTGGGACACCGTCATGTGTTTACTATGACCATACAGCCTGTGTCTGCTGCATGGATGTGAGAACCACAGCAGTGAAATGTTGACAAGGATATAAAAGAACAAAACAGTCCTCTGTCAGTGGGAAAGAAGAGGGAAGTCAGACAGGGAAGTGTTTCTGTTTTGAGAGGATTTCACAGTTTAAGGTCAAGGAGGTAAAAGGTGTTGTTGTGTAGAATCAGGATGTACATTATGGAAACTCTGGGTTATAATGTACTTCCTGTCTTCTATTTGTTTGGGTTTCCCTTCTGTTTGGGTGAAAGGAGAGCGTTGCAGGTGAGGTTAAACCACTGTAATCCTGTTTCCTGTCAGTGTGTGGAGGGCGGGGTTAAGGTGTTAGATGGACACTGGTTGTGCTGGCTGTTTATCATAAACACAGCCTAGCCCAGAGAGGTCCATCTGCTTTGATTTTATTTAGTGATTCCCCCCAGGGGCCCTGAGCTGGAGCGGGAATAACAATACTGGAGCCCATCTGTTCCTGTAGAACCAGCCCCGGCTAAATTACCACACGCTACGAGCGGCTGGCATATGCTGTGGCATAAAGCTACAAGAGGGCATTGTGTGCCAGCTGTTCTGTTGACAAATACTTATCAGGCACTTCTGAAGTCAGCTTGATAAGCTGGTTTCAAGTTTGACTCAAAACTAAACGGGGTAAGGTGTGGAGCGGGGTTCCTGTGGGGGAGACGCATGTATAACACACACCGATTTATCTGTCGTTGTCAAGAGATTGTCTGGGGAATTGGGTCACTGTGTGTGGATGTAATCTGGAGATATAGGCCAGATACCAAGTGGTCACAACAGACCGCGGTAATCTTGCTTCCTGTAAGCATAACAGACTGTGATCATATTGTTGTTGTGTTTATAAGTCAGAGGATGATCGCCGTGTCAGGAGCATAAATTGGGCTCGATCATGGTAATCCTCTCAGGAAACAATAAGATCTGGATAACTCACAGATAAACACTGACAGTCACACCAGAAAGCCAGGTTTACAGGGACTTACTGCTAACGCCTCTGTGAACTCAGGAATAAGAACTACTGTATGATAATAATGATATTTAAATGATGTCGTATACAGTGTCATTTTTAAGACATGCAATACTATGAAAAGGACACAGAATACTTTAGCTTTCGACTTACTATACTCTGACTTTATGAGTTCTTATTTTAATCAGATATTTTTGACATAGTATCATGTAACTTTTTTCGACATACTATACTATAGCCAGGGTGGCGTGTGGCGCAGTGACCTAGTGCGTTGGTGTTTGGATCAGGGGAGCACAGGTTCAAACCCCGCTGCAGTCAGCATGTCGTTGTGTCCCTGAGACACTTCACCCCAAATTGCTCCTGTGGGGATTGACCACAGTATTGAGTATGTAAGTCGCTTTGGATAAAAGCGTCTAAAAAGTAATGTATTAGCTTTTTATCTGATATTTTTTCACATAGCTTAATATTGCTTTTTTGCCAACACTTTTTTTTTCTCTGATCTTACATATCTTTCCATCTTTTATCTATTTCTTATCCTTTAGATCTACAGGTAACCTCATTGAGAACAGGCTCCTTTTATCAAACCTGTGCGTTAATGTTAAAGCAATATTATATGAATACTGCATGTAGAAGTTGTATGCTTAGCATCACACAAAAAAGGCAGTTTCTAAGTTACTTTCTCTCTGGTGCCTTTTACCCTCATGTCTCAGCATTGTGTTATTTCAAATGAATGTATGAATTTCTCTCAACATTGCTCTCTTTCATCACACCACTCACAACGTGCACCCTTCAAAACGGGCTTTATTTTGTTAACATTTACAGGAACATCACTGACATTAATTTTCCACCCGTTACATGTGTATATACTGTACAGATGCAACAGAAAAAGGAAAACAAAAATCAAAACCCCGAGGCTCCAGTCAGAGACGAGCTTCAGCAGAAGGAGTTCACACAGGAAGTCCCGACAGTGGAGACGACCACAGAGCAAAATGGAAGTGTCAGCTGGAACCTCATTTATTAAAAAAACGCCCGCATACTTCACACTTTTGTTTTATACTCACAACTACTTCAATTTTCAAGTTGTGATTTGGAAAAATATATATAGGCTAATGCCAACATGTGCAGTTTCTTGGTTCAATCCAATGGTGTGTGATATATAAAAACAACTACTTCTCAATCCATGGTATGCTTTAGGTACTTTTAAATTGGATTACAATGGAATATGTAAATGTTTCTTTAAATACTTATATATATTGCGCACAAGGGTTACCAGCCTTGTGCGTCATCATTTCAATCCTTTGTTAACTTTACACTGTTCAACGTGTTACTATTAACTTTCAGTAGTTGCTATGAGAAAACTACAATAACTCCTTATACTGTGAAAAGGGACAAGCAGTACCCAAAGCAGTATCATCAACCCTGTTTCATTTCCTTAAAAAAGGGATCACACACAGGTTTATATTAGGATTAGAATATAATAAATAATATTGTTTAGTTATCTGGTGAAACATTGCATGTCACATCTTCATGGAAGGCAGCAAAAGTCAATACTTGCCATGATGGGCAAAAGAAAAAAGGCTTTGTAAACATAAAATATAATTTATATTTAGTCATCAACACAATGAGTCAGACACTTAAAAACACTGCATGTGAAATTCCTCACATCATACTCCCTTAATTGAAAGAAAACAGCCAGGCTTTTTCCAGGACTTCACCTCGTTGACCCCATGAATGCATGGAGTGCTCGACAACGGCAGCCATTGTACAAGTCTCCCTTCATGCATTTATCTGGCATCTCCTCGCCATTTGCAATGCAGAGCGCTCTTTACCGGGGGAGAAGCACATTTGTATTCTGTAACACAAAACTCTGATGTCTCCCGACCAACAAATTAGCACTCGGTGTGACTTCCAATGGGAGGACAAAAACAAAATGTTTCCTGATAGGTCCACTTGGGGATGGAGAAAAAAAGTGCAGCATTGTTAGAGCGAGATGTGCAGTACGACACTTCTACAATGGCTACTGCTATCTGCAAAGAAACATGTACTGGAAAGACATTTACATGGGGGGGGGGGGGGGGGGGGGGGGGCGTCTATAGTGCTGATGGTACTACCTCAGGAAATCTATGCTACTAAGAGACGTTTTTTGAGCAGAGTTGGATGAGGCTTTGCGCGCTGCATGATGTGGAAAAGCCCCCGTGTGTTACAGTGATTAAGAATAGCACGACTCCTCTTATCTTAAGGTAAATGAGGTGGAGGAGGTCATCCCACGAGCTCCACTTGTTTTCGTTGCACGTGTTTTGTCAGTCGCGGCGACGCAAGCATGCCCAGTGCGTCTTCATAAGGCCTCGCTCCATCTTCCACCACCGACGCTCAGCAGTGAGACACAGGGAAGCTACATATGAAGAACACAACACTTCACTGCACAGTGCAAAGAGGCTTCTCCCCCCCCCTCTCTCGGTTTCATCTCTCCCACCTCCAGAGAGGAGAGCTGGGCTGGAGAGGGTTAACTTTGTTGGTCTTTCTGGGAATCTCCTGCCCTTGGGGAGGGGGGAGGTGGGGTGGCTGGGGGAGAGGTGTTCTACTTGTACAGGCTCATGGTGGGGCTCTGGTACATGCACATGTAGGCGTCGCAGAGCAGGCGGCGGGCCTGGCCCACGATGCTCTTGGGGTCCAGGGAGTGCAGCTCCTCGGGGCTCATCTTCAGGTACGCCTCCACCTCGGGGCAGGGGGACACCTGCGGGATGTTGAAGCCGTTCTGCCCTCCTGCAGAGACACAAGCACGGACATTAGATACATCTGTAACTCTTAGTGAAAACCATGTGAAAAGGATTTGATGCGCAAATCAAACAGAGATTGCCAATGAATTATGAATGCAAAATATATATTTTTTTTTTAATAAACTCGTTTTTACCAGCAATCATTAGTTTGTTTTCCTGATGATTACCCGCATTATTTTTAGGGAAATAAAAACAGCAATTTTAAGTAAAAGTATTAGTTCATGAATCTATCCAGTGGCATCACGATTGGAGGGTGTTACAACCACACACACACACACACACACACACACACACACACACACACACACACACACACACACACACACACACACACACACACACACACACACACACACACACCACACACACCACACACACACACACACACCACACACACACACACACACACACACACACACACACACACACACACACACCACACACACACACACACACACACACACACACACAACATTTCCAGTTGTAATAAATCGTGATACGTTATGATATCACAGGAAGAACAAATATGTTATGCAGTCTCTCAAAGTCTTAACATGTAACACACTATGATGAATTTGGTGCTTGAATATTTCTGTGTAGTGATTCATGACTTCAGCATCTTCCTCAGCGAGGTCTTATAAAACCATCTGTGTCGCTGCGCAGTGTGAAACTCTGTCGCCACTGGAACAAAAACAATGTCCTGTTCCTGTACATATCCACCGGGTCTCGTTTCAGGGATTAGTTTGATGTCATAACAACAGTTTCATGCCACAGGCCATAAGACTGTTAAACACGTGAACTTTGGAAAGAACATCCGGAACATTCATCTGTTTGCAACTTATATATATATCAATATTCAAATTACTTGTATATAGACTATTCTGCACTATTTCTATTCTATTCTATTCACTTGCACTATTTTATCTGTTTTATTGTGTTGCTCTGTTGGAGGAGGAGCCTGTGACCTAAGATGTTCATTGTGATAACTACACTGTAGCTATGTACGCATGACAATAAAAGCCTTGAACCTTGAATTCATGATACAAAGGTTTCATTTTCATACGCACAAAAGCAGCAGTGTAGCTGTTGGCAATGGAAAATGCCAACAGTGCAACATTAACACATCAAGAAAACATAAAGAAAGAAATAAGGAAGTAAAGTAATGCAAGTACCTCCCTACTTTTTCTTAGTTGTTTGATTTATTTTAAGTGTATTTGCACCATTCTACAGACAACTAAATAATCCTGGTCTGACTAGCGAGATATCATGCGTCAGAAGGCCGTGATGACACCCACCGTCGCGGTCCGCCATGCTGTCGAAGAAGAGCCAGGAGGAGTCCGCGCTGCCGTACTTGACGAAGGCCACGTAGTGACTGGTCTCGATGCACAGCACTGCGAACAGCTCCATCCTCTGGCGGGGGAACGAGCCCTGCCGCCCCGAGCCCTCCTGCAGCTCCTTGGGGACGGACAGCTTCCCGTGCCGGTGGGTTTTCCTCCTCGGGTGGAGATGGACCTGAAATCAGTAAAAAAATTAAAAATAGCATCGCACTGTTACGTATGAGCGGTATATGCCTAACATGTAACAGATTGAGTAGAATCACTGTAAATAGGGGGGGGGGGGGCATCAGACTGTTACTGTGGCGTATCAAATCAAATCCAAAAGTATTACAGCCCCAAATCACAAGAAAGGCCTCAAAGGGCTGAACAAAGCAAACACAATAGTCATAGCATAACAATTGTTACAACATTGTACATCAACGTAAGTATTGCCATGTGATAAAAGCATGAAGTGATGAACAGTATATGAACTATACGTCTCTCAAAACTCACTTATTCACTCGAGCTGAACTTAACTCACACTTGGATTAGGACTACTGTTTGTGGTTTGTTTTCTTTGTGCAGTTTCGTGTAAAGCGTCTTTGAGCACTGGGAAAAGCGCTATAAACATTTAATGTATTATTATTAAAAACAGATAGAGGAGAGGAAGCACTGTAAATAAAAGCTTTGAAGTACATTTGAGGCTTCATACCACCAGATGGGCTACACTGCAAAAACTAAGCCTAAAAAAACAAGTAAAATAAATAATAAAATGAGTAATATATTACTTAATATAAGAAAAATTATCTGCCAACAGAACAAGAAAAATTCACTTGCCAAGACCTTCTTAAAACAAGTAAATATATCTAGCCTAAAAATATCTACATATATCTTAAAACGAGTGTTTTTAAACCAAAAATAAGTACATTTGAATTGATGCAAGGAAGGAATATAATCTTATTATAAGGAAAATGTGCTTGAATTCAGCATATTCTACTGCTATTGTCCCAAAATTCTATTTTATGTTAGGCAACATTTCTTAAATCCAGTGCAGCTTCACTTTAAACAGGTATATTTGTCTTGATACAAGATAAGATTTAAGAATTATTTTCTTAATATGTAGAAAAATCTACTTAAATTCAGCATTCGGTGCTATTCTTAAAATAAGGCTAAATACCAAGAAACGTAGAGACAAAACCTTCAAAAATCTTTAATCCTATCAAGATATAAACTTTGACTGCTTGCTTAAAGAAAAATGAGTCTCAAATGATTTCTTTTAATGTTTTTATTGTTTTCAAACTGCGTAGTAAAGGTCAGTCATCAGATATGTCTTTAGAAAAAAAGAGAACATTCTTTCACTGTAAAATACAACACAAGTGAAATCTCATGACACTTTTGACTCAGCGAACAATTTTCAATAGGACTATAAGTATGAGGGGCCGCTAGGGACATTATTCAGAAATACCGTTTACTTACACATGTGAAACACTCTCACACACACAACTGAAACCAAAATAATTTACAAACATATCTAAAAATCTCTCATATACACATATGAAACGCTCTCACACACATGAAATCCAAAGTTATTCACACACACATGTGAAACGCACGCACTCACACCTGAAACGCTCTCACACACACATGAAATGCACTCACACCTGAAACTCTCTCACACACGAAACGCTCTCCCACAGATATGAAACGCTCTCACACACATGAAATGCACTCATATACACATGAAATGCAATTTCAGTATGTTGTGTGAGAGGGATTTCAGTTGAATCTGAAGGCATCTCGGTTGAAAAGGAAGTCGTTTAAAAAAAAAAAACTGCGAAGAAGCGCACATTTCTAAAAGGCGAGATGCCTTCCGTTTCAACTGAAATCCCTCTCACACAACATATTGAAATCGCATTTAATGTGTATATGAGTGCGTTTCATGTGTGTGTGTGTGTGAGGGCGTTTCAGGTGTATGCGAGTGCGTTTCAGGTGTGTGTGTGAGTACGTTTCACGTGTGTGAGTGCGTTTCATATGTGAATAACTTTGGATGTCATGTGTGTGAGAGCGTTTCATATGTGTATATGAGAGATTTTTACATATGTTTGTAAATTATTTTGGTTTCAGTTGTGTGTGTGAGAGTGTTTCACATGTGTAAGTGAACGGTATTTCTGAATATTGTCCCTAGCGGCCCCTCATATATAAGTGCCCTAATCGCTTATGAACTTTTTCCAGTCGGCCATAGCCTTTTTGTATGAAGTAGTCATGTCACGGTCGTGAATGGCGTCCAAGAGGACTTCTGTCTGCACCACAGACAGGAGTGTTGCAATGCACTTAGGATAGGTGAGGTGAAAGGTGTAATAACATGCCATGAGATACATCACGCTTTCATGAATGTCCTCTTTTGGGAAGATGAGCACGGGCATGGTTCCAATGGCCAGTATACAGTTGGTTTCGCAGATGATGACAACAGGGCTGGAAAGTGGTCGTGTCTGAAGAAAGGTGTTTGGGTCTTCTGCAGACTGACACAAAAACAGACAAAGAAATCGTCACAAAAAGGGAAACAAATATGATCACAACATTTCACTCTTTGTATCGACATGAGAAAATTCTTATACATTTTCTTACCTCAAGGACGTGGAGCAGAGCCTCACTTGCGTGCCTTAACTTCTTGGGTGGGGCCAGAGGTGATGGGAACATCTCTGGTAAAGCCTTCATCATGGCAATTGAGTGCTTTACTGTTGAAAAAAAAAGTGTCATTCCGTTTCCTGCAGTCAGTTAATAAACAGACATGGTCAGAGATAATAATCACCTTTGTCAAGCTGCGGAGGCCTCATGAGCTTTTTGAAAACTCCATAAAACTGTGCCCTCTCACAAAAGGTCCCCCACCGGGTCTTAAGTTCCGTTAAGAAGTGGGAGTTGCCTTGATTGAGGACCCGCCGTAGTTCATCCATTAGCTAAAACAACGAGAGAGAAAATATGTAGAAGAAATATTAAAATCTACATTCCAAAGGTTAGTAATTCGTCTCATAACTGCATTTCCAAAAAAAGATTAATATGTGTATAATGTGATTTAAATGGTCACTTAACAAAAATATGCACATAGAAACATGTGTTTTTCTGCAAATGTATGTCTTATGCACACACTATTTTTAAATACGTATTGTGGACCAATAATACTAACAAAATAATGTTGTGTGTATCAGAAGCACATTTGTGAAATTAGTTATTTTTAAATAAGTGGAGGGTTTTTATATATCTATGCAGAATACATATTTGTATTCAATAAGCATATTTGAGTCATTCATTTATAAATAATGAGACAGATCTGATTTAATTGTCACACCATTTCTCATTTCAAATTTGGTCTAACGTTATCTGAATTAGGAAGCATAGTTGTACAACATTTGCTTACATGATCCAGTTCTCCAAAGCAAGGATAAGCTTTAAGAATCTTGGAAGGCCTGTCCTGCTCCTTTGTAACATCAGAGTCAATGAAGGCCCTTCTCGCTTGGATTTCGAGGTCCAGGAGCTGAGCAACATCCATCTTGTTCGGTCTGGCCTTAGTTTTATACATCGCCTGTAGAGTCTTATAGTGTCTCGCCTGGGTCTGTGGGCTCTCAGTTTCTGATGCTAGAAAACATAAACCCCACTATTTTCATTTCTGATGTTAAAGTTTAAATGAGACATTAACACACAAACAGCCATAGTGACTGACACAGGGCAAACATAGATGAGTAATCTTGAATAAAAAAGGGTTCTAAAATAACTTATTGATATTATAAAATTTTCTTGAAGAGATTTAACTATCTACTATTTCAATTTATGTACTTACCACATAACTGTTCAGCCTCCGGGGTGCTGCATCGAGATGGTGGTGATCTCTCCAAGATCAAGGTTGATGCAGTGGATTCATCAGTCTCATCAGTGGACGTCTCATGGCTGCTCTGAAAGCTTAAACTCCTAGGCCTCTTTCTTGAAGGAGTTGAACCCTGCTTCTTTTTGGGGGTTGTCACATTCTGGACCCTTTTCAAAAGCTGCTTTTTCACAGTTTCCTTACAAGACAGACATACAACAGGTTCTGTTATAACTCACATAAAACAAACTTGTATCAAACAAAATACACCATACAAGCAGTTGCACAGAGCTCTTATTGAACTGGATAAAACACATCACTCCCAGTTTGATAGGCAAATGATTGCAGTGCTTTGTCTGAACCATGAGTTGAAAACTTGAATAGTGACATACCCACTCAGCTCTACTGGTTTGAGATCTGTCCCGAAGCATTGGGTAGTACTCAATCAGACGCTTCGCCATTACAGTGAGTTCACGGCTGCATGGATAGTTAAAGTCATCCCCAGCTGCTCTTTTAATGGAAAGCATGCTTGTGACTGTATTCCTGATTAATCGACAGCGAAGATCTTTGGAAAGGACGTAGTCTCCTTCTTCTCCAGCACGCTGCTTTTCAGAAAAGGTGCTTCGTGATTGCTCCAATTCTGTGTCTGTGTATAAAACATACAGTGGACTGGGAAGCTGTACGGTTCTGCTGGCACCATGTTGGGGTTGTGGGCTTTGAGAGGAGAAGGAGGGTGGAGAAAAGACGGGGGATGGAGAGGGGTTGGGGCAGGAGGAGGAAGAGGAGGGAAACAAGGAAGGTTGGGGGGTAGGAATAGGGCTGAAATCACAAGTCCCATGGGAGGTACTCGGTCTACACAGGTCTGTCTCCTGGCCCTGTATAAAAGATGCATATATATATATATATAAAATGGTATTTACAATGAAAGAGCACTACGCTGTGACAACAACAAAAATCAACACAACCAAAAAACTCCACTTCAAATAACTGCATGATGACTAGGAAAGGCTTACTTGGTAACAGGTTTAAAGTCCCTCAAATGTTAGAATCTGGAATTACCTCATTTTCATCATGATTGAGTCTCCAAATGGTTCTTCTTCTTCTGAAGTGCTCAGGCCCGGGAAGGAGATCACGCAAGTCCTCCTTAGAGAGGCTGGGCAGCATGTCTCTGCTTATATTAGCAGCTGAAAACACATTTAACCACACAGTTAATAATAAGGTAAAAAGCAACTAATAACATATTTATCTAAATACATAAAATGAAAGAGTAATGTACATTTCTGGCTGGCTTCACAAGATTTTCTTTAACATTAAAAATGTATTGCACTTACTTATAATTGATTGAAAAAATTGCTGTTACAATAGGTTCATCCAGAGTTAAAGTTATTTTGGCCAAATGAAAATGCACCAGGGAAATGAATAAACGAGGCATGTTGTTAGGATAAATCCATAACACAAATGTGTAAAATCTCATAGGCTATAAAAGTTATACATTTTCAGCATCTTTTATAGTACAATAAAACAAATCTTGATGTTTAAGAGCAAACACAGTTAAACTTATTTTCAAAACAGTGTCTTTACCTTGAAATCTTTATTCAAATAAGCATAATTTACGTCCCAAGCCTGCTTATATCCAAAGGACAGTGTAGTTTCAATAGCCTGCACTGCACTATCATACAACAACGCATTTGTAAATGCTGTCTACAACAAAGAAGGGCGCCAAAGATGGCTATGCTAGTGTACAACAAAGAAGGGCGCTAAAGATGGCTATGCTAGTGTACAACAAAGAAGGGCGCTAAAGATGGCTATGCTAGTGTACAACAAAGAAGGGCGCCAAAGATGGCTATGCTAGTGTACAACAAATAAGGGCGCCAAAGATGGCTATGCTAAATACTTTACTGTCAGTTGTGGAAGGCTCATTTGCTTCTTGACATTATTTCTGGCAATAAAACAGTATCAACTAAAATGTTAACCACGATTTGTCGATTGTGCCGTTATTAACAGCTTACAGTAGATATTAGCTAAGTTAACTAGATATGTAGCCAGCCTAGCTAAGTCCAACCGATTCAAATAATGTAAAGCTTGCTGGAGAGGTGCAGTATAAAATACAAAATTACATTACCTTTTAATGCTGCAGTTGCTATAGGATCCAAGCATGTGATATCTCTTCCATTTTCATCCATGGCGTAGTTTTAATGTTCAATCACTTGCAGAGGTTCAGTCTTCTGCCTGAAGGAAAGCTAGCCAGCAACGTCCTGAAGCTAGGTGCACCTGACCTAACACACGCCCTTAACGGACCCTCTTCGCGGTTCCCATTGGAAGGTACCATTTCTTAAAGAGGGGTGACAGAGATATTTTATATGTTGCAAATATTAGGAATATTAATAACTGATGCGGTCATAGGTAACATTTCAAACATCTGTTTCTAGATGCACATCATTCCACAAGTTATTCCCAGGCATTATTATGACGTGTATATATATATATAGGAAGACGACTCACCGGCCTCCCCCATACAGCTAGAGAATGTGATAAACCCACTTCATTAGTTATTTTCCCCAACGTGTACATGGCCTGCTGCAGAAACGTTTTAATATAGTTAACTTTTGGAAGATTTCACGATGCTTTGGCGGTGCGTTATCTGCTGCGTTTTTATAACTTTTTCACTGAAATTATTATTGAGCCATATTAATCGACTGCACAGTCGCAGCTCTGACTTCAGGTTGCTCTGTGGCATTGATGGATGCACTGAGGAATATAGAGTGTACAACTCATTCTACCATCATGTAAAGAGAAGACACTTTCAACATCTTCTTGAAGACACCAGACCTGGCGACGCCACACGTGGAGATGAAAACCGACAGGAGGAAACCCAAGGACCGCAGCAAAAAGTAAGTAACGTCTGCTAATTCAGCTAAGATTGTTAGCTACAGTGTTTGGGCCACGTGGCCACTCGGATACAGGGTTAGTTTCGTACATTTTGTGATGCTACAGATAGCATTAGCCAATACTGATCAGCCACATTTAGTTATTATAAACCATTAGCATTAACTAATGAATCTGCTAGGCTACAAGCAGGCGGCATCTGTCAACCATATATTTTTAATTCAGCAGTTAGCTATGTAGTGTTTTTGTGGGGATGAAAAAAACCGTTAAAAATATGCATTACGTTGGTGTTCGGCCACAGTTACTAAAACAGTAAATCACAAAAATTATGGTTTTCCACTTTTTCACTCTGCAATATTCTGCAAGGTGCATGCATCACTGTCAGGATCTGCACATGATTTGTTGAATTCACAGTTTTAGCAAATCAGAAATAAATCTCAAATTCTTTACCCACTATTAAACTTAAAACAAAAATAAATAGATTTTCAGATTTGATTAGAAAAAAAAGTTTCATGGTTTTGTTTTCTGGACTGAAAAAATGTAATAAAGAGTGTTACCCAGACAATGGATAAAGTGCTACGGCTTACAGTTAATAATTGTTGCTGAAATAACTCTTGCCCCCAAAGTTTGTTTAATGTGAAAATAATCTTAGATAGAAAGGAATTACATATTTAAATTGCTCTTTTAGTGAAGCTAATTTTTTAATTTTTTACAATTTCAAACAATCTTGTTTCTTTGATATGTTGTACACAGGACAACATTCAACCCGATCAGCTTCCAGCCGACTCCAGCAGCGAGGATCAGAACCTTCACACACCTGACTCAGTTGAAGAGCAAATGGGCATCGACCAAGATGGAGCTGTCACAGTGCACCAAGTATGTTTTCTTTGTTGTTGACTATCTACTGAAAATTAAGGGCTGCTAAATAAAGGTCAGGCCGATATAGTAGTGGCTAATATTGGCCTAGCATATAATTTATATATCAATATTATGTTGAAATATTTCATTTAAATTCACCAAATGATTCATAAAACCTAGAGGTATATGTGAAGATGTATTTCTATGTGCTGTACTAGCAAAACTAAATGAACACATAAAGAGTTAGAATGGCTTATTGTCTTGTTGGAGTACTAATGTTTGATATGTTTTGGTCAGAGTTACAAAATATTAAATTATCTATCTTTGCTCACCACATGTCACCAGTTTTTTTATCATCAGATGTGCATACATTTAAAGATTATATATTTCTGTCACATTGAGTAATGTTATACCTGCAAATGTCAAGTTACTACATTTTGTATTGTAGGATCTGACAACACATGCCACTGCCTTTGTTATCAATGCCCGATCCAAGCATCGTCTGTCACAGGTAAAATGCTTCCTATGTAACCTTTTTGGACTAAAAGCATTATGCCATGTGTGATCTGCTTCTCAGAACATATTAACAGGAAATATTTTGTGTGCGACAAAGAAATGCAAATGAGCATTTATTATCCAGAAATTCAAGCCATTCACTCTGACTAACCCAGTAAGGGATTTCCCATATTTTATTACAATTTATAACCAGACACAGTGTAGCCATATATTAAGTTAGACCTAGTTTTTCTTTGAGAACAGAGCACAGTATTTGGCTACCTACTGTACACAGTTAGCAGTTAATAGTGGTTCACTGATGGCCGAGTTCAGTTTTAGTGCTTTGTTATCCACTTTACTGTTGTGTCTATGTCATAAGCAAAACTGTATATCACATAAAGCTACAGTGATCATGATAATGTTTACCAACATCAAAGATTGATCACATCGCTTTCAATCTCTCATTTTCAGAAAGGCATGAATGACATTGTTGCTGGGGTACAGCAGTATCAATCATCACTATTGGACAACCTCAGGACGCAAATGAAGGAAGTTCTAAAGAAGAATTCAGGAAGTACAACCAATCAACTTGGAAAAGATGCAATGGATATATTTGACAGTTTCATTGACCCCTTTGCTAACGTTTCAACAACATTTCGCCAGAACAGTGTTATTAGGAAGCAGTTTTGTTGTGTGGATGCAGAGGAAATTCCAATTGCTCGAACCATATGCAGGAAGAAACGTGGAGGATCAACAGATTTTGTCATCAAAGACAAATTATTTTATTATGTACCATTAGTCAAAAGTGTAGAGCAGTTCCTATTACATCCGAGGATTTTGACTATGATTGAAGAGGTACCCCAGAGGTGCAGTGAAGGTTTTTTTCATGACCTTGTTGATGGTTCTCTTTTAAAATCTCATCCCTTATTTTCAGAGAAACCAAATGCACTGCAGATTATTCTGTATACAGACGAAATAGAGATCTGTAATCCACTAGGATCCTTTTCATCAAAGAACAAGTTGTTAATGGTGTACTACACCCTAGGAAATATAAATCCAAATTACAGGTCTAAGCTGGCTGCTATTAGGCTACTTGCGATGGCTAAATCAGCAGACCTCCGTCAATCTGGTGTAGATGTAATATTGAATAGAATAAAGGAAGACATGGATGCATTGTACAGTGGTGTTAAAATTCAAACTATTAACGGGGAGAAAACAATACATGGTGCTATGGTTTCTCTCTGGTGACACCCTGGCACAGCATGAACTCGCAGGGTTCAAAGAAGGAGTGGGCTTTGCTTACTGTGAGTGTTCTTTTGAGGACATGCAGTCACAATTCAACGAGGATGCATATATTAAAAGAACATTGGAGAATCATGTCAGACAGTGTGATGAAATAGAAAAGGCTAACACAGACTTGCTTCGCAACAGCCTTAGAACAACATATGGGATCAATCGAAGGAGCAAGTTAGTTGACTTCTCATCCTTTGATATTATTCGGCAAACCCCGCAAGACATTATGCATGTCATTCTTGAGGGTATAGCTTCTCTGGAAATTAAATGTGTTTTGAATCATCTTGTTCAGTCAGGAGAGTTAAATCTGGACTCTGTGAATTCAGCTATTCTTGGTTTCCCTTATTCGCCTCTAGATGTTAGAGATCGACCATCCCCAATTTCTCCGAGTACACTGATGTCAACTGATGGTAAACTAAGGCAGTCATCAGGGCAAATGCTTGTCCTGTTGAGGATATTGCCATTTGTTTTGGAACATTTGAAAGTCAATGCAGTTGATAATGGACTTAATAGAGATTGTTCAAATAGTGTTTGCACCTGTTCTTACCATTGCAACTGTGTCAAGGTTAAAGTTACTGATTGAAAGTCATTTGAAGCATTGGAAGGAGCTTTTTCCAGACCACAATGTTACACCTAAGCAGCATTACATGATACATTTGCCATCACAGATAGAATCATTGGGTCCCATGGTCAGACATATGTGTATGCGGTTCGAGTCTAAGCATTGTTTATTTAAGCAATGGGCCTCCAAGCTCAATTTTAAAAATGTATGCAAGTCTTTGATTAATCAGAACCAAATATATGAAAGCTGCCAAAATGTTGACCCTTCCAAGCACCCAATTTTTTCAAATGAAAAGGAGATGGGTCCTGTATCTGAGGTTAGAGATCTACAATATTTACATGGGAAATTGAGGGACTTCCTAGGTTTTAGTGAAATTAACCATGCTGTATCAGTGAAATGGCTTGTGATAAATGGTAATAAATACATTACTGAGAAGTCCTTGATCCTTGCCAATGTACTAAATGGTAATACACCCGAATTTGGACTTGTCAAAAGCATATTTCTTGTTGATTCTAAGCTTTATTGTTTGGAATATCAGCCTTTTCAGTCCATATGCTTTGATAGAAATGTTATGGCTTATCAAGTTGAGGTCCCACACCTTGCACAGGCCACTGAGTTAGTGGATGCTGAAAAGCTGGTTGATTTTACCTCTTATTACACAATCAGCAGAAAGGGCCAAACCTATGTACAAGTGAAATACTATCTTGGGGATGTAATGGAATTACACAACAGTTCAAATGACTCATAGCGTGTTCCTTTGATATGATGATGTTGAAACATTTAAAGCAAACTTAGCAGGTTTAAATGTAGGACTAAGGTCCTGACTTAGGATATGTTATTAGCAGATTCAAATGTTAGCTGTTTGGATTCCAGATGCGTTTTGCATTATAGTTTGCAGTGTACCTAAATCATCTGTATCTTTGTATAATACTGGGTCTTTCTTTCAGGTTGTTTTAAATGTTAATTACATAACATGTTATCAGCCATTTAGGTGTTTATCACAATGCTGTTTATGTTTGCTAAATGCCCTTGGCCTGAATAATGTTACCTACTTTAACTTTTCAAATGAGATGTTTGCACATATTGCTCAATCACTTTAGCTTGCTGAAGAATAATACATGCTGAAAAGAATGTTCTTAATGCAGTAGTTTGACTTGGCTGGTGCTGTTATTTCTGTATACTGCATTTCATATATGGACATACTTAATTGATGTACTGGGTTTTAGAGCGACAATAAAACAATGAATTTCATTTGGTCCTTATCTGTTTTTAATATGTTAAGAGATGAAAAAGGATAGAATGCTTGCAATAAGATATTCTGACTTTGAAAAAGCAGTTTTCTACTTATCAGTGTTGATCTAATATCTTTAGAATTATGGTATTTCTCAATTTAAACATTAATTTACTCAGAATCAGTATTAAAATCTCAAAAACAAGTAATAAAACCTCATTAAGATAATGAAGTAAAAAAACACTTAATGGAAGTGAAATTCACTACAGCAAAAACTTCTTTGTAAGAGGAAATATCTTGGCAGACAAAATATAAGCATATTTTGTCTTGATTTAAGATATTTCATCTTAGTAAGATTTCAGTTTTTGCAGTGTATTAAGCTATAAATCCAACAATATTTCAGTATATTATTATGTGTTTATAAATCAAGGCAATGCATAAAAAATACATTCATCTCAGAAAGAGAGAAGATGCCAGATTTTGCTTTCCATCTGTAGTCCTTGGGCACAAAACAATAAAAAAACAGTAAAAAAATGGTGTTGTCACTAGCACACTTAAAACATAAATATATAAGAAATAGACGAAAGTACGGATGTATAAAGTATTAAAACTGGCTTTATAGCGGAATAATTATAATAAAATAAGTTATTTCCACTAAAAACTGTCAAATGTGTGATAAACAAGCTGCTTAATATACTTTTGTTTGCACTATATTGGTAAAAGAGTGATAGTCCGTTCATGTTTTAAGTTGGAAGCATATTCCGATGCTTGATGGCCGTGAATCAGAAAGCAGAATGTGTTGGCAAATAAAATGAACGCACCATGTGTTACAACCTACTGTAGAAGCTGCAACATCACTGCTGCTCTGATTGCTTTGGATTTGGCGCCCCCAAGTGGACGATTTTAACTCACACTTAAAGGTCCCCTATTATACGGTTTTTCATCAATATATTACAGGTCTCAGATATATACAAAGCATGTCTCTGAAGTGCTCCAAACACCAAACAGATCATTGCAGCATTACCCATAATCCCCTCTGTTTCAGCCCTGTTTCCAAAGAGCGGATTCTCTGTCTGTTACTTTAGAACAGGGGTGTCAAACTCAAGGCCCGGGGGCCAAATCCGGCCCACGACTTCATTTGATGTGGCCCTGCAAGAGCTTGCAAAGAATATAATACGTTTATTATACGGTTACATGCCACTTTACAGAAGCAGGTTGCCCATAAACGACATGTCCCACAATGCATCTTGTTTTGTGACATGCGCACTGAAGAGAATTGCAATTATTTGCCCTGGACTTTTGCTTTCAGACGTAGTTCATTACCAACTTATTATCCTATCCGATAATAATGAAATTCAGAGGCAATAATGTAATATAATACATTATTTTATATATATATATATATATATATATATATATATATATTATATAGTTACAACCGGCCCTTTGAGTGCAACCTTTATGCGAATGTGGCCCGCGATGAAATTGAGTTTGACACCCCTACTTTAGATGAAAATAAGGAGCCCCTCCCCACGCCCCTCTGAGAGATATTTGGTTAAAAAGAACACAATGGTGCTCTAGGAGGAGATTCAGGTGATAAGGTGGGGGGGGGGGGGTTACCTTGGTTGGTGATTGGCTAATGGTTACTCAAGCCAAAAAAACGTTATGATGAAGAAGAGGGGACACATGTTGATGTAGAAGAGACATGAAGAAGAGGGGACACATGGTGATGTAGAAGAGACATGAAGAAGAGGGGACACATGTTGATGTAAGAGACATGAAGAAGAGGGGACACATGTTGATGTAGAGGAGACATGAAGAAGAGGGGACACATGTTGATGTAGAAGAGACATGAAGAAGAGGGGACACATGTTGATGCAGAAGAGACATGAAGAAGAGGGGACACATGTTGATGTAGAAGAGACATGAAGAAGAGGGGACACATGCTGATGTAGAAGAGACATGAAGAAGAGGGGACACATGTTGATGTAGAAGAGACATGAAGAAGAGGGGACACATGTTGATGTAGAAGAGACATGGAGAAGAGGGGACACATGCTGATGTAGAAGAGACATGGAGAAGAGGGGACACATGCTGATGTAGAAGAGACATGAAGAAGAGGGGACACATGTTGATATAGAAGAGACATGGAAAAGTGGATTTTGCATAATAGGTGACCTTTAAAATGTTAGCTTGCGTTGAGCTGGTGTTGCAGCAATGCGCTCTGTTACTTACCTGCGTATTGCACTTTTCACAGAACTGTTTAATCTTTCCCGCCGTGATGTCCCCGTCCTCATAACAGTCTCGACACTCGTACAGAGCCAGGCCTCCGCAGATTCGACATTCCCTCGGAGCTGGATGACAAAGACACATTTATTCTGGCTGCACAAAAGTACTTTAAGACACAAGAAAGAAAGAAAGAAAAGGGTTCCTTCATCTCGGGTGAGTAGCAGTGACAGCTCAGAGGGATTTCATTACCAAATGCCACGCGGCTCTGAGGCACCATCGATCGGAGAAACACGTCACACTTAGACACTGGAAAAAATGATCAGCCACAACTCACTGTCTTCAAGAAGGTCTGTGATGTCTAACTCTAGAGAGGGGAAAATCTTGTTGAACATTTTGAAGTCTTTGCCAAAGCGAGGCATCTGGATGATAAGGCAGGAGGGAGCCTGAGGTCAGGAGACACAGAGAGGAGAACACTTTATTTGGACATCATCATAGTAGATTGGATATATCAGAAAAGCTCAGAGCAGAAGAGCTCAGGACTGATGTTAAACATACATACCAAAAACTCACAGTACGATAATATCGCGATAACAAGTCCACAGTACGATATTTATCAAAAATGTGCTTGAATTGTAAACAATGTTACATGTATGGAGAAACTAACTCCATAAATAAAATAAGCTAACCTCGAGAATTAAAGGTAAAAGTTGCTCCATGTGAAAGTATTCAATTTAGGATCCATTTTTTTTTTATTTCTTGCATCAATAAGTTGTGTCATCAGCAGTGGAAGCTGCTTTTGATCTAGGAAGTGACATTTCAGTTCTGCAATAGAGAGGCGAAGTCCCGCCCATCTACTTCCGACCCATGGGACCTTATTTCGGAAAAATGATGTATTGAAGTCAATGGAGAGAGAAAGATTATCTTTAATCCCGTTTGAATTGTCCCACGAATTACACACATGATGTTTGTCAATCTTAAAAAATAATTTCCATGTCAAAAAAGTAACAGTTTGTCGTAAAACTGTTGAAATATAAGATTATGAAAAATACGCAACTAGAAAGACTACAAATCCCAGAGTCCCGGTGCTGGCTCTTAGGAACCAACAAACTCCCCTTTTGTGTATGTAGTTCTCAACATGGCCAGACTTGTAGTGATTTTCACTTTCTGCCTCATTCTGAAAGAAAGAAGTGAAATGTTCCAACGTGACGGCCGTCTTGGTGTGTGGTGCGAGATGGGAGTTGTAGTTCATGGAGCGGTTTCACACAAAAATAAGTGTTACTTCACAGTTTTAGGACACATTTTAATTTTTTTGACTTGTAAAATTATCTTTTAAATTGACAAACATCATATGTGTAATTCGTGGCACAATTCAAACGGGATCGAAAGATAATCTTTCTCTCTCCGTTGACTTCAATACATACTTTTTCCAAAATAAGGTCCCATGGAGCAGTGGTTCCCAACCTTTTTTCCCCAAGAGCCCCCCCAAATGACTCCTGTTGGAAGTTGCACCCCCCCCCCCCAGACACACACACACACACAAGGGGGGGGCGCAACAGCGGTAATTAAAGTTTCAAAGTCTCAAAAAAGTCTCAAACAGGATGAAAGTGAAGTATTTTGTTAAAGGAGGATGAAAGCGTAATTAAGGAGCACTATTGGAGTGACTTTGATGGTTATTGGACTCAGGATTAATTCATTTGGATTCCCGCTGTATGAAGAAATTAAAGGACGGCGCAAGTGGAAACAATTCACAAAGGGATTAAACTGTTTAAAACACATGCTCAAGGTAAGCCGGATTTTGCCGATGTGTTTATGTGGATTCAAAAGTCGTAAATAAACTACAAAATGGAGGAGACCGATCTGATCGGAGCAACTGTGACAAATAATCCAACTGAAACCGGCATGGACAATGACTATGTTTAAAAATGCGCTTATCCAGAAAAGCCTGGTTTGGACACTTTATGGGCAGAAGAAACATTTATATTAAAGAAAGAATTATACATTTCTGTCTTTTTATGCCTATAATATATTAACTTGAATTTTTATTGAAATGAATGAATCAATTATTTTTATATTGTATTGTAATGTATAGACAAGGCTTTTAGTGACAATCATGTATTGAGTTACAATTATATGTAAAAAAAAAAAAATCTAAATATGATATTTGGCCTCAAATCATCTGAGGCCTGGTGCCCCCCCCCCCCCGCGATATTTGGCCCCCCAGGTTGGGAACCACTGCCATGGAGGTCCCCCGGAAAGACAGGGACTTTGCCTCTCTATGTAGTTTCGTTTTTTGGAGATGTCTCCCTGCTCAAAATCTCTACTCCAAGTCTCTCTCAACACCAAATGATAAATCTATTTTAATACACTTTGTTTTCAAAAAGGAACAATAACTAATGCACCCATGTACCCTAATAAAAAAATAACATACTATTAACACAAGGGGGAGCCATTACCTTTTCACACACTTGAAAAGATAACAATTCCGTAGGTGCATTTTAAGATGGATTAGAGGTGTAAAATGTATTTATTTTAGTTTGATAAGATTAAGACCCCAAAGCCATCCAGAAGTTAATAGCTTATAGCACACTATGTATTGAAATATGTCCAAAACCTTACACTCCATTTACATTACCAGGTCTGCTTTTATTGAATAAATACATTCAAACATTCAACATAATTAATACTGAAACTTATCGAACGAGTATTATATTCGACACACAACTGATGCCTTGAAGACATTTATTTTAAACTCTTTAAATTAAGATAATGTTATTATTACTGTATGGGACAGTTAACCTCTACATTTAAAGAATCTCAGTGTGTTGTGATTAGTCTTGATGTCATATTGTATTTTGAGAACTGTTACTTTAAGTCGAACTAAAAACATCAGGTATTCAAAAGGAAGCTATTTCCCATGAAGTCATTTTGTAGCACAACACATTGGGAACACAACCTGGGTGGCGTCTTAACGTTGCGTAGATTAGTGTATGCTCAGATTCTTATAAAGGGTTAGGCACCAAACTAACAAACTGTAGCAAAGATAATCAGACCAATCACACCACGATATCACCAATCTTTCTACTCAAATCAAGCTAATCCGTGGTACAAAACAAGCTGAAACTAAATGAAACTCACCTCTGCAAACTTGAGGTCGCTGTTGATGAAGGACCACTCGAGCAGCTGCTGGATTGTGGGAACTCCCACTTTGTCTTTCTTGTCCATAAAGATCTGATAGAAGTAACAGTCCTGCACCTTCTGCCCCGCTGACCTGCAGAACAACACGAGGCTTTGTTCAAGTTCACATCCTTCTCAGTAGATTAGGATAAAACAACAACTGTAGTCAGTGCAGATATTAAAAGCATTTCCTGTTGTAACCAAGTGATATGTATCTCACTGGAATAAAAGCAGATCTGTTCCTAGCTTATTGTTACTAGTGTGTGCTTGTGTGTGTGTGTGTGTGTGTGTGTGTGTGTGTGCGCACTTGTGTGTGTCTCTCTCTCTCTCTCCCTGATTGTCTCCAGGTGCAGCCTCTCCCTCAGGTGCTCCCAATCCCCAATCAGGGCCTCCATAAAGGACCCGAGGAAGGCTGCAGTGGCTCTCTCCTTCTCCTCTGGCTGCATGTGTGACATGTGCAGCATGGTGTCTGTGGCCGTTTCTCAATCGCGAGTACACATGCTGCAGAGCAACTATTTCAAGTATACTACGTCATCGAGTGGCGCAGAATTCTGGGCATTTAAACAGTCCTTCGGCCCCACTCGATGACGTAGTATACTTGAAATAGTTGCTCTGCAGCAGTTTTACTTGCGATTGAGAAACGGCCTCCGTCTCTGTGTGAGGCCTAGTTTAACGTGTGTGTTGCTCATTGTTAGGAGTACCTTGTTTAATGTAGTCACTTGTTGTTTAAAGAAAGTTGTTCTAGTTTATTTTGCAAGCTGGCTGGTGAGCCCTTTTTCTTTGTTTAATTAGAAGTCCATCTTGTGGCTTCACAAACCGGTTTCCTCTCCTTTTCCTCCTGCCTGGTTGTTTTTGTGTTTTGTTACTTCTCTTTGGGTCCAGTAGGGAACGTAACACTTATCTTTGGGGAATTTAGAAATTTGATACAAAGGAGTACCCACATTTTGATCAAACCTGTAAATTGATGAACTACTGTACAGAATCTTTCAAAAACGACATTTCTAAATAACTTGTTTGGACTTATCTAGGAATTGGATATACATGATCTAACTAAATAGCTTAATCAAAAGAAATCGGGTGTTTTATTTTTTATTTTCAAGCAGTTAAAGTCAACCTCACATAGTGATGAAAACAGGCCGCTTAATTTAACAGCTCGAGATATGATCACCACATTTTCTGTCACATCTGCATCCTGTCACTGATAAACTGTTGCGCCAGATTTCACACTGCTCAAGTATTTATTTTTAAACCAGGTACATGTTTCAGAGGAGTCGTGTTAAATGACAGTTTTAAAACTGCCACTGCTCGGCTTTGGCATAAAATAATTCCTATTAAAACACTAATGCACAACCTTTTAATTCAGTAGACCTGATTCGGCTCATCTGAATGGCAAACATCCTTAAACATGACCTTAGAGGGAGTTTTTATAACGCGATCAAAGAAACTCCTACAGTTAAACCACACAGTCTGCCACTCCATCTGAGCTCTGCAGCAGAAGTGAAACTTAATGCCCCGGTTAATCTGCATACTGCAGATTTAAGAAAAGGTCTGGTATGGTTATGTGGTTTAGCGCTGATGTGTTTGGAAATATATTTGCAGAGTCTGCAAAGCAGCGTAAAGCAAAGATATATCTTCATTACGCCATGAGGTAGGTACACAGGGATTGTGTGTATCACATGGCTTCTTCTCGGTTAAAAAATGTCAACATTATTTCTCTTTTGATTTAAAAAGTGCACCTATCACACTATTTTAAGGCATATATTATGGGTCTCAGATATATAAAAACTAGGGCTGTCAGTCGATTAAAATAGTTAATCGCGATTAATCGCATGATTGTCCATAGTTAATCGCAATTTTTTTTATCTGTTCTAAATGTACCTTAGAGGAATGTTTTTCAAGTTTGTAATACTCTTATCAACATATGAGTGGACAAATATGCTTTATGCAAATGTTTATTATCATTTGAACAATGACAACAATCCTCATGAATATTAAACACAACAACCTCTGAACATTACAAATATTCGCCTCAATTCAACCTGGAACCTCTGGAAAGTGTGTGTGAGTCTGCGTGTGTGTGTGTGTGTGTGTGTGTGTGTGTGTGTGTGTGTGTGTGTGTGTGTGTGTGTGTGTGTGTGTGTGTGTGTGTGTGTGTGTGTGTGTGTGTGTGGTGTGTGTGTGTGTGTGTGTGTGTGTGTGTGTGTGTGTGATCGTTGGAGCTATGTGCAACTCAAGGCATATGCTCGAACGGGAGCTGACTGGACGCTGCGATCATGTTGCGCACTATCCGAGCTGAGTGTGCTGACTTTTCGTACAATGTCCCACTGTCTGGCTTCCTGCATAAAGTCAAGTGCTCGGCGCAGTTGTGGCAAAATGTTTTCATTTAAACAGCTCCTTGTATCCGTTAGCGCAGCTACCTAGGACCAGATGCTAACAACAACAACAATACACGGTCCTCCCGATGGCCAGTCAGGGCCTGCCGGTGAGGAAGTGTGGTCTGCTGCAAGCGGGCAGCAGGAGCGGGGCTGTCAGCATCAGCTTGTAGATGGTATTTTAAACTCGATGCGCTCTGAAACTACGGGGTGGCCGAGGACAACAAATGCACATGCGTTAATCGCGTTAAAATAATTAGTGGCGTTATTTTTTTTAAATTATTATTAACTTGACAGCCCTAATAAAAACATATCTACGATGTGTTTTGATCAAAATACAAACAGATCATGTATTTTAGAAATCCCTCATACCCCTCTGTTTCAGCCCGTTAGAGAAACGCGGATTTTGGGTCCTTAGCTTGAAAATAGAAAAAAGAGGAGGCGGAGCTAATGCCTGATCAGAATTCTACCGGAGATAAAGTTAAATTCTGCTGTGATAAAACGACATCCTGTTTAAACCACGTCAAGGATTATTTCTGAAACAGTATGGAGCTCAAATGCTTTTTCTCTTGCGGGTTTATCACAAGGTGAGTTCTTTTTTTATTTCCTGCTTTTTAAAACACATGTGCTCTCCAGTACAGGTTAGCTCTGAGTGTTAGCGAGGCTTGCTAATGTAAACAAAAACGAGATTACGTCCAAAACACGTCAGGCATTGTTTCTGAGAGCAACTCTCTGTGGGTCCACCCTCCGAAATTACGTACTATCGGCAGCAAATCTGTGTCCGTTCGTTGTACCCCCGTTTTTTAGAGATTTGGGTACGGAGGAAAAGAGAAAGGGTTTATTTTCTGACGCTGCGTGAGTTCCCTGATGCACCGGGGACACATATTTATGTATAAAAGACATCACAAAGTGCATTTTGCATGATAGGTCCCCTTTTAAGACTGGGAAGATACATCGGGCAAAAACAATTGAATAAGAGGAACAGAAGATGGAGAAAATAGATATATACTTTTGCATTTCCCCAAGAAACGTTTGCTTCCCCTTGCGAAAGACTTCAGCTAAAAAAAAACATACGAGGTCAGGGAGAGGCTCGTTTTATGGACACATTTTATTTTGAAATTGGCCCAAGACATTAAGACATCAGTGCTTGACTTTTTCATTTCTAACCTTTGAGTTTCTTCTCCACCATGTCTGTCCCCAGGCTCGTTACTTTTGTGTCATTCTGCACATTATTTAGGGGATTTGAAACTCGCGCTTACCTTAGCCTGAGTAGCGGGTCCACCCTCAGTATGTGATGGAAAAGGATATTGAGGAACTCCTCAGGATCTGCAGAACAACATGAACTTAAATGAGATCTCCGTTTACATTTCGGTGTTTAAATCCAGTGCAGACCGTAGGAACTGAAAACTCAAGAGCATGAATGTGTGTGATATTTAAAAATAGCGGATTTGTTGTGTGACTCGTGACTGCCAGCATTTCATTATATTTTACAGTTCCTAAAGAGTTTGTTTTATCCTCAAAAAGGTATTTTGATGTTACAAGTATAGCAGATAATTCAATAAAAGTAAAATCTAAATTCAGATTCTCCACCAGTACACAGAAGATGAAATGTTCAAACCCAATGAGTGGAAGAGTAAGACACATTTTTAAAAAGACCACTAAACAATTTACCGTCTCATTCTCCTACCTTTTTCTTCAGATGTAAACCCAGAAGCAGCTTCTACTTTCTCCAGGATCCTCCTCAGCTTCATCACCTTCGTGGCACAAACATACCCATGTCTGCAGGACAAACAAGAAGCAAGTTACAACTCAGCAAAATAAATGACATTTGGTTTTATAACATCAGTTCTGCTAGTGACATTCTGCATCAGATGTTACATTACATGTCATTTGTTGGACGCTTTTATCCAAAGCGACTTACATTCAGTGCTGTGGGCAATCCCCACCGGAGCACTTTGGGGTGAAGTGTCTCAGGGACACAACGACATGCTGACTGCAGTGGGACTCGAACTTGCTATTCCCTGATTCCAAGTCCAGCACACTACCCACTGAGCCAGTGGTTCCCAACCTTTTTTCCCAAGAGCCCCCCCAAATGACTCCTGTTGGAAGTTGCGCGCGCCCCCCCCACCACACACACACACACACACACACACACACACACACACACACACACACACACACACACACACACACACACACACACACACACACACACACACACACACACACACACACACACACACACACACACACACACACACACACACACACACACACACACACACACACACACACACACACACACACACACACACACACACAACACACACACACACACACACACACACACACACAACAGCGCAACAGCGGTAATTAAAGTTTCAAAGTCTCAAAAAAGTCTCAAAGTCTCAAACTGGATGAATGTGAAGTATGTTGTTAAAGGAGGATGAAAGCGTAATTAAGGAGCACTATTGGAGTGACTTTGATGGTTATTGGACTCAGGATTAATTCATTTGGATTCCCGCTGTATGAAGAAATTAAAGGACGGCGCGGAAGTGGAAACAATTCACAAAGGGATTAAACTGTTTAAAACACATGCTCAAAGTACGCCGATGTGTTTATGTGGATTCAAAAGTCGTAAATAATCTACAAAATGGAGGAGACCGATCTGATTCGAGCAACTATGACAAATAATCCAACTGAAACCGGCATGGACAATGACTATGTTTTAAAAATGCGCTTATCCAGAAAAGCCTGGTTTGGACACTTAACGGGCAGAAGAAACATTTCTATTAAAGAAAGAATTATACATTTCTGTCTTTAATACTAACTTGAATTTTTATTAAAATTAATTAGTCAATTATTTTTTATATTGTATTGTAATGTAGAGACAAGGCTTTTAGTGACAATCATGTATTGCCTTACAATTATATGTAAAAAAAAAAAAGTCTAAATATGATATTTGGCCTCAAATCATCTGAGGCCTGGCGCCCCCCCCTGCGATCTTTGGCCCCCCCCAGGTTGGGAACCACTGCACTGAGCCACAGCCTCCCATGTTATAATCAGGGTAACATGATGAAGTAAATAATGCAACCTACAGTATTTCACATTCTGGTTTTTTTCATTTATCTGAAAGCATGTGCAAGCAATTTAGCATTCTAGTCTAGAACAGATTTTAACTAACAATAAAACAAAACGTTTAAAAATGTAAAACACAAGCTTATAACGAGCCAGCCAAATCTTTTAATATATAAAACATATTCCAGATTATATTAAATTAAATGTATCTGATTTTATATTATGTGAAAGATCTTGTTTAAAAGTCCCAGAGAAACTTAAGCTTTCTAGTTTTGAACAGTCTTAGGTATCCTGTATACAAATCTGAACAACATGCCTAAAACAGATGCTTCAAATCCTACAATAAATGGCATCATTATGTTTGCATTGAATGACATTGACTCACATGCGCAGCGGGTTGACGATCTCTGTGCGCAGCAGCTCTTGGGTCTCTCGGTAATATTCCACATCGGTTTTAGATCGCGGCCTCAGGAGAACCGTGTCCAGAACGGAGCTGAAGGAGAACAGACTGCAGAGCACAAAACAATCATTATTCATGTTTCTTTTATCTATCTAGTCTAAGATAAATTAGGATTTACTACGTTCATTGGCTTTTTGCAATTAAAACACTTATTATTGATATATTATCTTGAATGTAAACCCATGCGATAACAAGGAGAGCTTCCCTGCTGATGGACGAATGAAGGATTTCTAGAGTGGTCCAATTTAAAGCTAAACAACTCCAAACTGGTGGAAGTGCCTTTTAAAGTGACCTCCTGTAGTTCGGTGGAGACGTTGAGGTTGACTGCTTTGTTCAATGGCCCTTTGGCAGAGTTGGCAGTAAACAACAGATCTACCCACTGCTCTCAGCGGGAATACACACTCCTGTGAGAGCCAGTGGGCAAAGTCAAAAACAGTTTACCAATAAGCCTCTGCCTCTGGGCAATCTCAGCGCTGCAGGCGGAGGAAGCGCCAAAAACTCAATCAATAGAATAACACGGCATGCACTGCAGCTCATCTACTAAAATACACTGACCAGAAGAGTGTTGAATCCAGGTAGCAGGAGTTGTAGTGGCCCTGGATGCCTTTCTTTTTTCCAACCATGACATCCAGACCGTCGTTCTCTGTGCGTGGAGGCGTGTTCTCATGCACTACTTCACTGAGGTACCCCCCAAATGCTGCAAAAACACAGTACAGGTTTAAACACTTAGCCTTAAAAGGTCCACTATCATACTGTTTTTCATCAATATATTATAGGTCTCAGATATATACAAAACATGTCTCTGAAGTGTTTGGCTCCAAACACCAAACAGATCATTGCAGCATTACCCATAATCCCCTCTGTTTCAGCCCTGTTTCCAAAGTGCTGATTCTCTGCCTGTTACTTTAGAATCTATGAAAACAAGGAGCCCCTCCCCACGCCCCTCTGAGAGAGAGGTTACAAAGAACTCAATGGTGCTCTAGGAGGAGATTCAGGTGATAAAGGGGGGGGGTTACCTTGGTTGCTGATTGGCTAATGGGTACACAAGCCAAAACATCATAAAGTGGCCAAAATCTGATCAGCTCATTTTCAGACAGGTTTTTATAGAAATGGATCAGGACAAAAAGAGAGAGAATCTTTGTTCCTGAAACTTTCAGAGTCTCTTTCCACAGAGGGGACACATGTTGATGTAGAAGAGACATGAAGAAGAGGGGACACATGTTGATGTAGAAGAGACATGAAGAAGAGGGGACACATGTTGATGTAGAGGAGACATGAAGAAGAGGGGACACATGTTGACGTAGAAGAGACATGAAGAAGAGGGGACACATGTTGATGTAGAAGAGACATGAAGAAGAGGGGACACATGGTGATGTAGAAGAGACATGAAGAAGAGGGGACACATGTTGATGTAGAAGAGACATGAAGAAGAGGGGACACATGTTGATGTAGAAGAGACATGAAGAAGAGGGGACACATGTTGATGTAGAAGAGACATGGAGAAGAGGGGACACATGTTGATGGAGAAGAGACATGAAGAAGAGGGGACACATGTTGATGTAGAAGAGACATGGAGAAGAGGGGACACATGTTGATGGAGAAGAGACATGAAGAAGAGGGGACACATGTTGAGTAGAAGAGACATGAAGAAGTGGATTTTGGGTGACCTTTAATGGACACAAACAGGTGCCTTTTATCGTCTCGTTTCTGCTGCTGACTTACCGATGGAGTTGCAGCGCTCGATGGGGTTGGAGGAGTGATGCAGGGACGGGAAGCGGGAGTCGGGCCGGCAGCACTTGAGCTTCACAAACAGAGCTTTTTTGGGAGGGCAGGTGAAGTACCGCGTGCCTTTGAACGTGCCGTCAGTGCAACCAGGACACTCCTCCTCCTGCAAGAGAAAGTCAAGGTCATGTCATTGCATTATGACTGTGGGGTTTATCCCAATCAATAAAAATGTCTATATATATATATATATCAGAGTTCCCGTTAGCCGGTAATTACCGGACTACGACCGGTAAAATATGCTGAAGACCGGCAAATCTAAATCTCTCCGGTCAAAGTGTCCGTTCAAAATAATTTCCGTTTAGCTCAATACTATGGGCTCAGAACAGTCTCATAATACACACATGCACACAGAAGGATTCAAACTTGTATTTCCGGATCCATACTTGTGTTTTTCAATGCACACACAAATGTATTCCGTTTCATATACATGTAAATAAAATCCAAATACAGAAAAAAGTTTTACATATGTATTTTTGATCCTCACATATTAGTTTCCCGTTTAAATCCTCTGCACCTGCAAACACAAACAGCTTTCTGTGCACGGATCGCTTTGCATTCGTGTGTGGGTTTTTTTAGATTCCCCTGACGGTCAGCCGATTCGTACTTGTAATTGTTTCTATCTATAGCCAATCAGATGTCTCCTTCATTCTAAGCCAATCACATGAGCGCGCCCCCACCAGGGTAAGATTACTTCATATACGCATTTTGCGCAGTCCGGACAGCTCGCTAAACAGAGGGCGGAGCTTCAGGTGATCATGCACTGCAGAGCAGCGTGTCTCCATCAGACTCAGCAGCTGATCTGATCTCTCTCTCGGGTCCGGTTATACTTCACTCGCGTGTCCATATCGATCAGATCCAGCTCTCCTGATCGGCCTTTATAGAGAGCACCGATCAAACTATTAAGAGTGAATATCGGCCGATAATGACCGGTGGGGCTCCCCCCCCGTTAACAGGTCACTGTCTAGCACTGGCTTCGTAGTGCACTGATCGATTAGGCTAAGCTAACCTGTAGCTGCTCCCTCCACACTCACAACAACTTCATACAGACATAAATAAAGCAGCTGTATTCGCCATACAGGAAACACACATTTAAAACGGTTTTGCCTGCCGTTTTTGTGTACACAAGCATTCATCAATGGTTTGGAAAGTGGCGCTGTACCTTAATAATATAAAGGCTTGTATTTGCGTTCATTTCCTGTTCGGAAAGTGGCGCTGTACTGAGAGTGGAGGGTGTCCTGAGATTAGCGCCTGCAGGCAGGCTCCATGGAGCTGTCAGATCCGGACTGCGCAAAATGCGTACATGAAGCACTACGTCATGAACGCAAGAAATCTACCCTCGTGGGGGCGCGCTCATGTGATTGGCTTAGAATTTAGGAGACATCTGATTGGCTATAGATAGAAAAAATTACAAGTACGAATCGGCTGACCGTCAGGGGAGTCTCAAAAAACCCACACACGAATGCACAGCGATCCGTGCACAGAAAGCTGTTTGTGTTTGCAGGTGCAGCGGTTTTAAACGGAAAACAAATATGTGAGGATCAAAAATACATATGTAAAACTTTTTTCTGTATTTGGATTTTATTTACATGTAAACGGAATACATTTGTGTGTGCATTGAAAAACACAAGTGTGGATCCGGAAATACAAGTTTGAATCCTTCTGTGTGCATGTGTGTATTATGAGACTGTTCTGAGCCCATACAATACCACATCAGTTGCGCAACTTGCACCATTTATGTGACAGACAAGAATAGTCAATTCTAATGTCTAACACTTCATATGGAGAAAGAGATTTCCTGTATGGGTTGATTGTGCGTTGCTCTGTTGGTAATGCCTCGGGGTTCCGGTGGGCATGTAAACAAATGCATAATGCTGCGCTATACTTTGTGGCCTCACCCGGTTGCATAGCGACACTTATTGTTTAGGTGTCTTTTAATAAGCAGGTAGTCCTATCATTAGCTAGAACTAGCTGGATCTGATCGATATGGACATAAACGCGAGTGAAGTCTAATCTGACGGGAGAGAGAGATCAGCTGCTGCTGACGAGTCGACACGCAGCTCTGCATGATCAGCGGTGAGCGAACAAAACACACACCAGGTTAGAATATCACACGTAGCTATTTTAATGACCTCTCAAACTACCTAAACTAGTTATAGATATGTTTAGTTTTACTGTTGGGTCACTCATTACTGATCCGCGAGCTGCATGATACTGACGGGCTGTCAGGAGAGGGAGAGAGCGCTCCGTTTATTATTCCCGTGTTATTGTAAGTTACTGTTCACTTTTGAATAATGTAGTTAATCTACTATAATTAGTTTAATATTGAATCATATCAATTTGTTTTAAAGCTCAATAAATAACAAAGAAGACCTTTGACCGGCACTGTTCTCATTTTGTCCGGAAGATTTCAACTTTAACGGACATTTTGACCGGCGAAAAAATATTCTAACGGGAACTCTGATATATATATATTACTGTAAAAATGTCATATGTTGGCAGAAAAAGGCATTGACTGAAAGTATTCTGACTTTTTCCAAATGCTTTAGGTCTTATTAAGGATACTTTGTAACTTTGTTTACCACTTTGATGAAAAGTTTTCTGCAGGTCTCCCTTGAAAAAGAGATCATTGATCTCAATGGGATTTTACCTGGATAAATAAAGGTTTTGAATTTGATTACATTTGAAAAGTGATTGTGACGAATATGGTGCATTTAACAAAATGTGGCCCATTTGTCATCTCAGTTACCCAAAATATAAAAAATATATTACATTTTTTCAGAAAAATTCAGAAACACGCAATGTGAGAATGCACTGTGCATGCAGGTGGTTGTCATTCGGCTGAGTTTCCTGAATGTAAACTAAATGTATATGACAGGGTACATGCAGGAATCCTGAAGTCAAATGTAAAACCTTTTAAGACCCTTTCCATACATTTTAAGACCTCATCGCCACTTTGAGTTTTATCCGGTTACCTTGGCGACACACTTTACCTCACATTGACTATACACAGTATTGATTGTCCTTCCTCCTTATTTTCCAACCGTTTGGACGCAGACTTGCATTTCCCCATAACGATGTTGTTTAACAACCGGCGTAAACGGACCTTCGCGTGCTATCAAGCAGTGAGCGTGCGATGTCCTGTTCAGATGACGTCCAATCCAACGGGATGCCATCAATAAACTACACAGAATCACACTACACACCTACGCAATGATTACATTCAGGCAGACTGTAGAATACAACCTCTTTGGACCATTTATATACTTATTGAAAACAAGCTACAAAATGTAATGCCTTGGAAAATGCCCTTTAATACTTTTTAATAGCCTTCATTTTCGCTAAATTGATTTATCAACTTTTAATACTTTTTAAGACCCCGCAGACGAGTATGAGATGCTTTCAAATGATCTGTACATGTGATGGAAGGGTCCACTGCTAAACACAAGCATGTTACAATTGAATTGAATGGGCAAACTACGGCGATGCAATAAGACATTGTATTTTATGCATTTCTTGCGCCGAAAATAATAAAAGGATAATTTTTTTGAGGGGGAAAAAACCCTGATTCCCCTGTCTTCAATTCCCTTGGAAATTTCCCAAAACTTCAAGGGAAATGTCATTACTTTTGCAACCCTTTCCACCAGTCAATCAGAGTTAGTAGCAGCATTTAGCAGCTGTACTTCAGGCTGTGGTGGGGGGTTCAGGTTGCAAGGCTTTCTGCAATCACTGGTCAGATAAAAGCACCCAACAACAGCAGTGATTACTAACAGAAATAGCTTGACCATATAAAAAGAGTGGCGAGTGAGTGGTGCTGATTTACACTGATAATCACTTGATAATCACTCGATACACTGACGATGATCAAGCGCTATATAAATCAAATGTATTATTAATAATAAGCTGTTCGCTGTGGCACATTATGGTCCTGCATGATTAAGAGCTCTATAAATATGTTTAGATGTAACTGGTCAGTAGGTATCTCAAGATCAAAAGTACCGAAAAAAATCATGCATCAAATTTTTTTGGAAAAACAATAACTGGCGATACTAAGTCTGTACAACCCGTCTTATGTCAATACGACACCAAGTCAAAGTCCTCGTAGGTGTCAACCTACCTGGTAATAAACCTGTTTCTGATATCATTTATTCAATTTTTTTGATGTTCATATTGTAATTTATTACATTAACTTCTTAAGTGTATTAAATTATCCTCTTCCAATTTCTTTAAATCTTTTATTTGTTATTTCCGTCTCAAATGAAGCGTCTGCTCACCAGCTCCAGCCCAGCGAGCGGCTCCAGCAGGCCGGGGGGGAGGCCCACCCAGCGGATGACCCCGCACAGAGGGGGGTTCTCCTTCACCTCCACCAGAGAGCCCACCTCCAGACCGGGCTGTCCTCGGGGGGGCGTCGAAGGCCTCGGCGATGGGGGGGCGGCGGGCGACGGGGGCTCGGGCTGCTCCCCCATCACCGACTGCACGGACAGCGACAGGGGGCCGTGGCTCATGCTGTCGATGGGGCCCGTCTTACGGTTCAGGCTGAAGGGGAGCGAGTGGAACTTGTTGTCAGTGGACAGAGTGGCGGAGGGTGGGGCTCGGGAGGGAGGGGGGGACTGGTTGAAGTCGGGAGGTGTGTCAGTGAGCGACTTGGCGGGGTCCTCCCCAACTACAGGAGGGAAAGAAACAAGCAGAGGGTCTATTTTAGTGTAAAGACACAGCAGGGTGTCTGGACACTGTTGTGGAGATGTTAGTATTGTAAAGAGTTATTTAACTATAGCTTCACAACTATTTCAAACATTAAAAAAATCTGCTAAATAAATATATATTACAAATGTATATATTTTATATTTTTGGCAATACGGTTTGTCTTTATGTTCTTGACAATAAAGCTATCTGAATTTGAATTTAAGTTTAATCAAGATAAAAATCACTCATACTGACATTTACCACTAGAGGTCAGCAAAACTAGATTTCCATGGCGTTTAGTTATGGTGTAAAAGGAAGAAAGGAGTCTGCACGCTTGAGGAATGTGGCTTTAAAGATGAAAAGTCTTTGTCAATGGACATCAATTCTTCCAAACATGCATATCAGGCAGATTGATTTTAAGAATGTATTATTTTCCTTAATTCCTGAAGATAAAGCCACCATTGGGACTTAAATATGTGGGTTAAGTGTGAAAATGCTCTTCATTGATACGAGATGTCTGGTGTGCAAAAAAAATAGCTATGAGCACTTTTAAATGTTGTGTACAATTCACAAAACTCTGATTATTTCTTTTAAAACAATGTGTTAGTGAGGGGTGTGCCACTCCACCATGACATGAGTGATTTGGATACATGCTTACTCTGATCAATCCTGAGAGAAGTGTGGAGGAAAGTCTGATGACTTTGTGACAGAAATGAAAAGCACCATAACCACACAAAACAATAACCCAAAATGTGGGAAGTGACCCTGAGGGAGATGGAAATGATTACACATTCACAGGATGAGTAAGCAGTTGTGAAAACATCCCATCAATTATTTATGACTGACCCCCACTAATTATTGCATTAGTATTTTTAAAATACTTTTACAGGCACTCAGGTATTCTGTTTTGTCATAACAGGAGGCAACACACATTTGATTCATGATGTTGAGGTATGTCTTTGTTCTGCTTCTAATTCATTGGTGGATGTGTGAAGTGTGAATACTGTAGGTATGCAGTTATACATTTTTGGACGATATATATTTTCCAGAATGTGATAACGCACAGAATAATTAGAGTTAATATCCAGAGTGCTGTGAGCCTCCACCATCTTCACTACAGGAAACATTATTATTCACAACTGGCACGTATTGGTGATGACATGAGCAAAGTGATTCCCCGCTTAAAAAGAAAGAAAAATGACACAATGGACTTACTGCACCAGTCAGGGCCGACACTAGAATTAAAGGTATTTAATAATGCTTTGGCGTGCAAATAGTACTACACAGATATATTCAAACTGTGTCTGAAGCCAGTTAAGGAGTTATTTGCAGCGCTGAGCATTATTAAAAGCCTGAGGGCGACACCGATTACTCCATGCAGGTGGAACACCACAATCAAATGGTGATGAAGCACAAGGGTGGTGGAAAGGTCTTTTATAGCAAGCTACTGCAACAAGCTACTGATTGTTGTTTTTATGCAACCCACCTATGGGGCAGACTTTTTCATTTATTGTATCCCACAATACAGTAATTACAGTACATAACGTACTACACATGCTTGCAGTACGTTTACTTATGTATGGAACTCTATTTCTCCCACTTGGTAAAAATAAAGGGAAATTCAAAATACAAAAACACTCTTTAATGGTAGCTAATTAAAACAAATCATATTTATACTAATCTCCCATAAATCTAAAACGTACCACTTCTGTAAGCTACTGAGAAAGTATCTCTGTTCACAGATCAGTTGTGTTGGTGGTATTTCTTATACTAGCCAGCGAGGTGAAGAAGGATGGTGGACTTAGCACCGATGCTTTGTTTACTTGCTGCTGAAATGATAATAAAGGAATCAAGTCAAGTCAAAGATATTTCATAATGACGCACTAAAGTATGTTAGGATGCTGTGCCGTGTAATTCAACCTTTAACTAAATGAGAAATAGACTAATGTATAAATATTTAGGTAAATGATAAACTAATAATAATAAGAAGAAGAAATGGGAAAATAATTGCTTCATGTAAGAATTCACAAATTCGCATTATATATATATGTTTTTGATTTCTACAGAATAACTTGTACATTGCTGCTGATGACAGTAATGCTTCACAGCAAGTCAACGTTGTGTGAAGCATTATTGTTTAATGTGTTGAAGAATTACACAAAAGTTTGACCACTTATTTCTGTCTACATTTTTTTTTTTTTAATGTTGGCAGGTTTCTGAGAAATAAAACGGCAGCTAGTCTTAGGCTGCCAATTTCAATGATGTAACGGTACGTCCACACGGTTCCGTCGCGTTGAAGCTTGCCGGTGGGCGTGTCTGGCGTGCGACCAACAACCAGTGGCGGCGCCAGAGTATTTGTGTTGGGTAATCTATGGTAGGGCTAACACATACAGTGGTGGGGCTCAAGTCAGTATTTACAATGTAATTACATACACGCTATATCGCCCCCCTTGACAGTGAAACGCCACAGGATCAGTTTGTGTGTTGTGGACACGACCTGTATATTTTCGCAAGCCGTGTTCTCAACATTTTGCTTATTATTTAATTTATTTTGCTTACTTTAACATCATTTTTCATGGTGGGGCTAAGCCATTTCTTGTTATCGCTGTAGCCTACCCCGGCCATACCCTGGCGCCACCACTGCCAACAACCAATCACATTAATCTCCCACCCCGGACACACAAGCACGCGGTTTGATTGGCTAGACTAGAGCTTGTACTGGCATATGATTTGATTGGCTGACGCTTCCGTCGAAGCCACAATGCAGTTCGGCAAAGCGTGACGTCACCCCATTCAAAGTGAATGGGAAGCGTCTCCGTTGAAGCACGCAACGGAACCGTGTGGACGTTACGTAACAGGCAGCGATTTTATTTTATGACTTCAACTTGTTATTCTTTAAATCAGTGATGATTTTGAAATGCTAAAAGATTTAGTATTTGTGCACATTCAACATGAATACATATAACCCTTTGTCTTGAGTTAACCTTAGTTTTTTAGCATCAGAGTGGATGATAACTTTTAATAATAAACACAATGATATTATACACACTTAACTCTCCAGTAGATTCACACCACTATTAGGTTTTAAACTTTTTGGATACCATAGGAAACTTGTTAAAGTAACCTTTTTTTTAAACTAGTTTTATAACAAACTTTATTCATTTATTATTAGCTCACAAAACTCCACTTATCATTAAAACATTGCTATGTTCCACGTTCTTTTAGCAGGTGGGAGTGACAGGTTTCCATACACAACTTTTATTTGCCCTTTTGGAGAACATTTCTATTAAGAGCAACCCAAAGAACCAGAAAAGATTTGTCTTTTAGTCCAAGAGTTACCCGTCATCCTGCCAATGTTAGGAATTTAAACTTTAAAAGCACCAATAAACATGTGCTTTAGTGATTTGGATTATCAAGTAGCTTGCTGTAAACAGTAGCTTGCTGTAAACAGTAGCTTGCTGTAACAGTAGCTTGCTGTAAACAGTAGCTTGCTGTAAACAGTAGCTTGCTGTAAACAGTAGCTTGCTGTAAACAGTAGCTTGCTGTAAACAGTAGCTTGCTGTAAACAGTAGCTTGCTGTAAACAGTAGCTTGCTGTAAACAGTAGCTTGCTGTAAACAGTAGCTTGCCGGTGAGAGGGTTGACGTCCCATGAGTTCCCGTTTTTACCTTCATCAATGTACCATGTGCTTTTGGATTTGGACTGGGCGGGGGGGTCAACAGAGCTGCCATTTTAAAGTATAGTAAAACTCAGACTTGCTTCTACTGCCACACTGATGACCCTAATCCTGTAAATAACACAAGTACATGAAAAAAAACACAGAAAGATAAGAAGAATATGTGTGTGTGCTGTAAGAAAAGCAGGGTAGGGTAACCTATAGGGGAAAATGTCAATTAATCAGCAACTGTAGGCAGTTTTTCTCCATAAAAGAAAAACAAAACAAAAAAGCAATCAGAGAACAGATTCACATCAAATGAATGAAACTGCAACGGGAGTTTCTCATATATTGAGCAATATGGAGTAAAACCGTTATAATGATTATCTTTATAAAAAGGGACTTTCCATCACAACTCTTCTTCAGGTTGTTATTCCTAAACTACTTCAAAATTGACAAACAGTTTCAATGAGTTCTCTAAAAGAAAGAAAATACTTCCTCTTTCCGGAACTAGCCTCAGAGGGATCTTCAGAACTGGCAAATCCCAAATTGTGACATTTCTTTTTGTACCATCTGTACTAAATCAATTTTGTTGGAATGCCCCTTTTGTCAAGAGTAATCATCACACCCAGAGGTGTGTGTGTCAGTGAGGTGAGTATCGTAACACCGGTGTACCTTTGCTCTTTGGTTTGCTTTGGCCAGAGGACGACTTTTCACTGTTGGTGCCTCTGGGGGCAAAACTGTGCTTTTGCAGCCTTTGGTCCTGCATGGAATAATCTGCACGGCCCAGAAATAAATCCACATTAGAGCCACGACACGCTTATCAGCCTGCGAAAAACTACCATGCAGCAAAAGTCTTCACAGCGCAACTGCAACTTGTGTGTGAATTTACATTGACCTTATTCCATTTTACTTCATGGCTTTCAAAGTTTCAATGTGTCACTGCGGTTCAACAAAAACAAGTTTGAGATCACAATTCAATATCCAATAAGAAGTTTAAAGACCCTATTTTCATTTCCTTCGCTCAACTTTTAAGTTATGACACTGAAGTCATAACATAGCATTCAACACTTCATTGACAATGGATGCATTGCTTTAGTTAGGGTCCAGAGTCCAGACTAAAGATGTTTATTTAACTGAACTTTTAAAGTGTTTTTTAGCTTTCACTTTGGACATACGGTAGGCAGAAGTCACAAAAGAGGATTGCAGCTTCTAGTATCACAAGCATGCAGTGTTGGAAAGTAAGTACGTTTACTCAAGTCCTGTACTAATATTTAATCATACTTATGTAGTGTTTCCATGTTATGCTTCTTTATACATTTTGGAACAAACATTGTACATTTTACTCAACTACAATTATATATTTAATATTATTTTTTATTTGATATAAAGCAGAACTATCCTACCAATATAGCTGGTACAAATAATCAAAAATGGTCTCAATATTTACAAACTAAAACATGTAAAGGCTATTATGTATTTGTAAGCGAATAATATAAAATGTATTAATATAATACTTTAATAACAGAAATTGTGCACAAGGGGTGCTTTTACTTTTGATACTTTAAGTACATTTAGTTGACAACACTTCTGTACTTCTACTTAAATAACATTTTGATGTCAGGACTTTCACTTGTCTTGGAGTATTTCCAGACCAAAGTCTTTCTACTTCTGAAAGCATGACACATAAGCATTAAAACATTTTATTTGGGTGTAGTTTTGAAACTAGCTGTATTTAGTAATAACACTTGACTTCATGTATTGCTGTTTAGAAACTGCAAGAAGAAGGTTTGAAAGGAAAAATGAATTTGCTAAATAAAGAATCCTAATGTTATAAAACATCTGTATGCGTGTCTGAAAAGTCAGAGAGGCGTCAGTCGCACATATAAACATTCAATATGCCAACGTGGAGAACAAAGAGCCCGAGTATCTCACTTGACTTTCAAAAAACAAGAGAGACATCAACACAAAGGGCTCTCTGTTCCCGCTGCGAGCAAAACACAAACTCCGAACGCTCAGAGCTGGTTCAAGAGAGGGACAGCTCAATGTTTTCAGAAACAACGGTGGAAGTTTTGTTACAAATTCTACGTGACTCACCTGGCATTACGTCACAGATAGGTACGAGTCGAGTGTGCTCCAAACTGGCAAAATTACACAGCAGCTTCCCATCGATCATACCATCCCAGTCCCCGATGGGATTGTCCTGAAAGAGTTGGAGACATGAGAACCATGTAAACTCTGCCAGGCGTTCTTCATCTCTGACACACACGTGCTTCTTCCCCTCCTACTGTCTTATTGATGCTCTGTATTGTTGTGATCCAAACTGCTCACCAGATGTTCCCCCTGACAGCTCTACTTTCTCCACAGCCACACTATTCTCCTCCCTCAGCTTAAGAATCCAGGACTGGAAGATATCCTACGTGAGCACGGTGCCACTAGCTAGCGAAGGCAGGGCGAGGCTGGACGCAGAGAGAGGCAGAGCAGTGGGCTCTCCTCACTGCTGGCCCTCTGCCATGCTGTTGGGTCATACAGCACTGAGTCTTTACCTCACTCCCTGCGTGACTGCCTTGCCTTTGTGTGGGTGGCTCAGATGCACTGAGTGGGGTGCTGCTGCTGCTAGTGCTGCTAGTGCTAGTGCTAGTGCTGCTGCTAGTGCTAGTGCTGCTGCTAGTGCTGCTGCTAGTGCTAGTGCTAGTGCTGCTGCTAGTGCTAGTGCTGCTGCTGCTGCTAGTGCTAGTGCTAGTGCTAGTGCTGCTGCTAGTGCTGCTGCTAGTGCTGCTGCTGCTGCTAGTGCTAGTGCTGCTGCTAGTGCTAGTGCTGCTGCTGCTGCTAGTGCTAGTGCTGCTGCTAGTGCTGCTGCTAGTGCTAGTGCTGCTGCTGCTGCTAGTGCTAGTGCTGCTGCTAGTGCTGCTGCTAGTGCTAGTGCTGCTGCTAGTGCTGCTGCTAGTGCTAGTGCTGCTGCTAGTGCTGCTGCTAGTGCTGCTGCTAGTGCTGCTGCTAGTGCTAGTGCTGCTGCTAGTGCTAGTGCTGCTAGTGCTAGTGCTACTAGTGCTGCTAGTGCTACTAGTGCTGCTAGTGCTACTAGTGCTAGTGCTAGTGCTGCTAGTGCTACTAGTGCTAGTGCTGCTGCTAGTGCTGCTGCTAGTGCTGCTGCTAGTGCTAGTGCTGCTGCTAGTGCTAGTGCTGCTAGTGCTAGTGCTACTAGTGCTGCTAGTGCTACTAGTGCTGCTAGTGCTACTAGTGCTAGTGCTAGTGCTGCTAGTGCTACTAGTGCTAGTGCTAGTGCTGCTGCTAGTGCTAGTGCTGCTAGTGCTAGTGCTACTAGTGCTAGTGCTGCTGCTAGTGCTAGTGCTGCTGCTAGTGCTGCTGCTAGTGCTAGTGCTGCTGCTAGTGCTAGTGCTGCTAGTGCTAGTGCTACTAGTGCTGCTAGTGCTACTAGTGCTGCTAGTGCTGCTAGTGCTACTAGTGCTAGTGCTAGTGCTACTAGTGCTGCTAGTGCTACTAGTGCTAGTGCTAGTGCTACTAGTGCTGCTAGTGCTGCTAGTGCTAGTGCTAGTGCTACTAGTGCTGCTAGTGCTACTAGTGCTAGTGCTACTAGTGCTGCTAGTGCTAGTGCTGCTAGTGCTAGTGCTGCTAGTGCTAGTGCTACTAGTGCTAGTGCTGCTAGTGCTGCTGCTGTTGGTGTTGTTGTTGTTGTTGTCGTTGTTGTTGTTGTTGTTGCTGCTGCTGCTAACGATCAGCCGTCAAATGCCTCAGTTATGTGTTTCAGTTTCCCTGTGACCACAACAACTCTCCGGCCTGACAACAGTAGTCATAGATACTAGCCCTGCTCGATTTGGAAAACATAACTAATTGAGATCAGTTTGATAATTAATATTGCAGTTGTGATATGATTCACAATATTGGGGAGAGTTGAAATGTTGTGCATATTAAAATATTATATTACAAATTTAAGAGGATCTATAGCAAACATAAAGTATATTCAAAGTCTGTAGAATACAATTTGTTGGCCAGGATATCAAAGCAGCTCTAAAATACTAAAGATTGAGCCTTTAACAAATATTGTGTTTCCTGTGAATATAGCACTGCTCGATGTTGCCGTGTCGCTAAGTTAGATTAGTTATGCAGCCCTCGTACAGTAGATACCAGACATAATGTAGTGCCACAAGGTACAGAAACATGGTTGTCAGCAAGTCATGACAGAAGATATTTAGTTACATAACTTTCCTCATCTATTAAAATTGAAACTTGCATGGTGCTGCCCTCTACTGAGGCGAGCAACTCAACATTTAACAACATTACATCATCTCTCTTTAGAAACAGACAAATGTAACACTGACCAGGTGATGAGATTTGAGTTCTTTATGAAACACTGAAAGCTTTAAATTATGTATATTTCCCTCCACTTTGTTACCAAATGACACTAACTAAAACACTGTTGTCGTGTGAAAGCAATTCAAGCTGCTCACAAAAGTTACTGATTGCTTCCAAAACATCGTCAAACAAATAACTCCACCGATAGTCCAACTAATAACCATAACAAGTTCTGGTTTTAACACATGGACGAAGTTGTCTTTTATGCTAAATGAGTTAGCCTAGCTGTTGGGCCATCACTTTTTATTCAGTGTGAAAAACATGAAGGTGGTTTTCACCTTCTCATCTTACTCTCAGCAGGAAGGCAAATAAGTATACTTCCCAAAATGTTGAACTGCTGTTTTAGGGAAACAAGTCATCTAAGGGACAGTTTCATCCCACAGGCCACAAGACTGATAAACACCTATAACATCTGTTTGCAACTTATATATCAATATTCCAATCACTTGACTATAGGGATGGGTACCGAGCCCCGGTATTAAACGGGCCCCGGGGCTGAATTATTAAAGACCGTGGTACCGTTAAGCTCCGACGTTAGCGGTATTTTTATCGGTACTGGAGACATGTACAAAATATATGTCATGTGTATTATGGCTACACAAACATTATAATCAGGGGTGCACATAACTTTTTTGCCCTGGTTCTCAAAGGAGCACCTGGAGATGTTGCTTGGTGCTCATCCTTAAAATGAAATAAACCGTAACTTTTGAGGGGGTCTTGACTTTATTTGCCAGACACACGGCACTGAACACACATGCAGAGGTGAACACAGAACACACATGCAGAGGTGAACACAAGACAACATTAGCACGACCAGTAATCCTACAAGCATCACTACCCTCCTGACTGTTCTCCTCACTGTCTTCCTCTCTGTCAGACATGGTAGCTGATGATGTAGGCCTACTTCTTCCTCTCTGGTTGAGTCTGTGATTAGCTGCTTGCATCCACAAGTCAACAGCTGGGTTTGGGTCGAAAGTCTCTGTTGTCATCTTAGACAAGTGGATGTAATCAAATAAGTATGTGAACATAACCAATAACCTACCATAGCCAATAACAAATGAATGTAACTTATTTTATTTGTGTTCATTCATATCTTATTTTACCTCAACATTTATTTATTTATGCTTTTTTTTTTAATCTCTCCAGTTTTAAAGGATATTTTTGGTTACTGTCCTATAGTATACATTGGAATGATTTAAAACCTGTTTATCCCAATAATTATAAAGGAGTGCCTTGGAAATATGTGTTTACATAAATTGCGACCAAACCGTTTGAACTTAGACTTTACCTCACTGAGCTGTAGTTATCAGTCTGACTGGAGAGGACTCTCCCTCCACATTATTGTAGAAACATATTCTTCTTATATCCGTTAGAGCAGCTAGCACGGCACCAGATTATAATAACGACAGCGCTGGTACCACCCTCCCTCCCTCGCTCACTCGCATTTTGTCTGTGAGCTGCGGGCGCCAGATAAGCCAACATCCTACATTTTCATCACTTACAGCGCCCATCGTACAGGGCAAATGAAACGTGTAACCGGGGTGAAAAGGGTGTTACAGTTACTTAATTGTGAATATTGTTACCTCAAGGCCGAGAATTAGGATGAGCCCCAACGGTCAAAATGTTTTTTTCCCTCCCAGAACTGCCAGCGCAGCACCTCCCCAGATCTGGCGCCCTAGGCGAACATCTAGCCAGCGCTACGGGCCGGCCCTGAGTTCATATCATGGTTCATATGCAACTCGCAAATATATTTCTCTCTCTCTCTCATCTCTCCTCTCTCCTCTATTTTCTCTTTTCTCTTCTCTCTCTCCCTCTCAATGTTGGTACGCAAATGCGCTTTGTTTCAAATGACCCGGTGCTCTTTTTTTGGCGGAGGTGCGCATGCGCACCTGCGCACCAGTTATGTGCAGCCCTGATTATATTGCAGTTTTAGTGTCACCAACTCCGTTTCTAACATGCAAAAAGACTGCAAAATGCTTCTATGATTATTTTTAGTATTTTCGATCTCTCTCCCGTCTGTGTGCGAGGGGGCGGGGCAGTTTACACACACGCAGCTGCTTCATGCAGCAACACACACACACGGAGGAGATGGCGGAGAGAACGCGCTCCGTGGTGTGGTTAAACTATAGCCGTGTCGATGCTCGTTGCCTAAAGTGCAATAAGAGTTTAGCATGTAAGTGCGGTAACACGAGCAATTTGTCTAAACATTTATCAAAAGTGCTCCACATCCAGACGGAGGAATGCACCGGGTTCGACTGTCTTTCTAGTAGCTCTGTAGCCCCCCATCCACGAGTAACGTTTCCCCGTCAGGTGTTATGTATGCTAGCAGCAACACACGGAGTTAACTACATTATTCAAACATGGGTTAATGATTAGAGGGAACTGAGTTATTTATTTTGTTAAAGTTTCAGCTATTCTGTTTACAATTCTGTCATCAGATTATTTAATACGATTTGTTAAAACGTTGTTGTTTATTTTGATGTGAAATATTATGTATTTAATTTAAATAAAAAGCAATGTTAGTTTTGTTCACAATTTGTTTAGTTAGTTTACCTTATTTTTTTCTCCAAAAGAACCGATAAGAGTACCGTTAAAGGACCGGACCGATAAGCGGTATCGATAAAAGTAGTAGTACCGTTAAAACCTTAACGATACCCATCCCTACTTGACTATTCTGCACAACTTCTATTATATTCTATTTTATGTTATTTACTTGCACTATTATCTGTTTTATTGTGTTGCACTGTTGGAGGAGCCTGTGACCTAAGATGTTCATTGTCATAACTACACTGTAGCTATGCACACATGATAATAAAAGCCTTGAAACTTGAAGCAAAAAGTTTCAGAGCTTAATTTCTCAAACTTCACTGAACAAAAGCAGCGGATCCTTTGTGAATGTGTCTATTATTTTTCTCTAGTTATTCAGAGAAGGCGTTACTTACCATGTCTACTCCCACATAGTAGCCCAGGCTCTCATTCCCGGGCAGCAGGTCACAGAAGATGATGGTCCCTCTCTCCGGCCCGTCCCGGGTCTGCACCAGGACCCTGGAGTTGATCTCCAGAGGAGGAAAGTCCTGGTCGTCTTCCACCAGATTCACGTGGTCCACCTCCAGCTCACCCAAAGCTTCGTCATCGTCATCCTCCCAGAGTTCAAGCTTGTCCAGGGCCACAAACACACCGCACTCATCCTCACAGCGGAAGAGTTGGCGTCCCTGGTAGGATCCCTCGGTGAAGCCCTGGCCCCGGCCCTCCTCCTGGGAGAAGGAAGTAAAGAACAGGGTTCATACACTTTTTCAATGACCTTTACCTCATTTTCCATGACCAAAAAAAGTACTCTTTCTCAGCGGCACCACTGAAAATGGTTTATTTTAACATGGAACAGGAAAATAAGGTCTGCAAATGAAACATGTCGTGCCTATCTAAAACAAATCAAATTACTTACTAGCATCTACACGCTAAAGCCACTAAAATCTCTCACCAGCAAAACACCTCGTCAGTTAAATGCCATTTTACGTTTCATTACGGTACGATACAGTATTTATTATCATTATAGAATTACTATTTCGGCGATTAGATAAAACATAAATTATATTCGATGCAACTTTAGTTACATTTCCATGACTTTGGGAAACATATTGTTTTCCATAACTTGTCCAGGGCCTGGAATTAGCATTTTGAATTTCCATGACTTTTCCAGGTTTGGAATGACCGTAAGAACTCTGAAAGAAAGGATGATGGGAAACTGTATAGAAAGAAGAGGAGCAGCAGCATTGTCATAAAAAGTAGGGCAGGTAGCGAGGCTGCTTACTCAGCATCCTTCAGGGAAGTCAGCATCAGAGAGTATGATCGATTACTGCAGCAGGGATATGACTTGCTGCGATGATAAATGCATTCAAGAAGCTCGGGCACATACTAGATGTTCTCACAAAGCGTGCCGTAACAGATTGTGCTTCTTTCCTCACACGCAGGCTTTACAGTCGATCGTGTCATTTCTATTTGGTAAGGGCATAGATACAGAATTGTATCCGAAGCATATGTGCTGCTCTGAAGCTGCAGCTACTGTCTGCCCACTCAGGAAGACTCCAGCTGGACTCGGGAGAATAACAACAACTTTGTGCTGCGATAAGCAACCCTTTGTATTGTGTTACGTACTGTACATGCAGTACAGCATGAATGGCATCACATACGCACGTTAGTATTCAGATAAAAGGAAGAGTTAACAGGAACTCAAATGTTATCAAAACTTTGCTGGATCAGCTTTGTTCGAGTCTTCTCTGAAACAACATTTATATTTGTCGATCTCCACATTTAAAGGTTAGAAAAAGACTGACATTCTCAACCAATGTGAAGGACATAACCCACAGACAACAGAGTCCGATGTTTCGACACCTACGTAATTTAATCCTGCGTTTTCCACACGTCCAAATAAACATGACGCACAGGGTGATGAGATGTGACATTCTTATAGCAACTGTCCCACAAATGTGAATATTTAGCATTTCGTTCTGCCATGGAAGCTCTGCCTTGTGCTGCTATTGACAGAAAGCTCCACACAGGAACCAAAATAGCTCGACAATAGTCAGCAAAACGATTTGTTTCAGGGTTGTCAACAACAACAACAACAAGAAGTGCAAGCTGACAACGCAGAGATGAAAGCAGAGAGACGCGGAATAAATCTATTTGCACTCTTTGCATTTTACCCCCTTTTATGTATGTAGACACTAAAGTCAATTGAGCCTAAAATAACAGACTCACACTCCAGGAACCTATTGGTTGCTCACAAGATCACATACTTCTTATTTATTAGGTACAGAAGTACAAACTCTTTATCGCATTGCAATTGCCCTGATCGCTTTTCCAAGTGAAGGCTATGGTCAGAACACATGGTTGCACGTGTGTTACTCATAAAGACAGCATAGTGTGTTTTACTTGCAGGACTATGTGTCTGATGCAGCTTTAATCATTAGACATCATATAGGAAGTGTGGGCCCAGTATAATCCCCCAGCTCCTCCTTCATTAGTATCGGAGACAGTAAGACAGCAATCTGTGTCTTCACTGGGTTAACGGTGATCAATATGATCCTTCACGGCCCGTCCACACTACAGCTTCAAAAAAAGCTTGGAGCTGGGCGTGTCTGAAGCTCGACCAACAACCAATCACATGAATCTCCCGCCCCTCACACACAAGCAGCGGTTTGATTGGCTAGAGCTTGTACTGGCATATGATTTGATTGGCTGACGCTTCCACCGAAAGATTCACAAGCTTCAAAAGTTGAACATTGCTCAACTTTTGCAGCCTGAAACGCCAGGAAAGCTCCGCTCTGCTTCCCACAATGCAGTTCGGCGAAAAGGGAAGTCACCCCATTCAAAGTGAATGGGCAGACGCGTTGGAAACCGTTTTTGAAGCTGTCGAAGCTGTAGTGTGGACGGGCCGTCAGCTGCTTTGACACGATTAGTCTCCCGACATTAAAAACTCTTAACTCAGCGCCGCAGAAGTGTTTGGTTGTAATGCTGCTTTTGTTCCACGTCTGTACACATAAAGCTGCACAAAGCACAAGTTGAAAATAATTAACTTGTTGGTTTTTGGCTAGTTTCATGTCATTTTAAGAGGAACAGTGATCAGTTTCAATAATCAAGATTTACAGAGGGATATTTTCCAATTGTTTCTATGCAACTTAAACAATGCCTCTAATATGATGTTATATATATATTGTCACTGCACGAGAGGTCTCTTCCACTTTTACCCCATTACATGTGGGGTTTGTTTGGAAGTTTTGTGAGGGTCAGAGGGTGTCGCATCCGTATTCATATTCTGTACAAACTGTACAGTCCCCTGAGACCAATGTAACATTTTTGACATTGGGCGATATAAATAAACTTTGATTGAAACCTTGAAACACAAAACACCCTGGTCTACTTCTTAATAAAAGACACAAGTTCTCACCAGCAGCTCTACTCCGAACCAGATTCCAGAGAGCGCTCTGTCGGGCAGCAGCGAGCCTTTGAAGCGGACCACCCCGGGCAGAGGTTCGTCCCCCGAGCGCAGCTGGACCCTCACCTTGGACCCACAGTCAATATCACGCACTCGCTCCAGCCGGGACTTGTTGCAGAGCAGGGCGTAGCGCTCCTCGCAGTTTGTGATGGGGAACAGCAGCTCTGCCAGCTTCTCGTCCAGCTCCAGGACGTCCCGCTCGTCCAGGCTCAGCACCACGTTGGTCTGGTCCAGGATGCGGAGACTCTTCTTGCCCTTGTTTGGAGGCAGCGTTCTCCCCAGGCTGTTGCGCTCCTGGCAGGCCTGACCGAGGCTGCCCCGGGGGATCCTCAGGATCTTCTGGGGGGTCTTCTCCACCGTACACTCCTTGATGACCATGTAGAAGCGCCAGTCCTCCCTGAAGCCCCCGCTGGGCTTCTCCTGGCTCCACAGGGCAGAGCTCATGGCTGCATGCTAGGCAGGAGGTCCAACATCAAGGCAAGCTTGACCTGCGGAAATTATGAGAGGAACATTTATTTATTAGTTTGTTTGATGACTTAAGATACATTATTCCTCAGCCCACATTCCTCATGCACATTTTATTCCAAAACAAACGATACAAATTGTTATCGTTAAATCTGAGATAGAGGGCTCCATGATTCAATAACTGTCAATTATAAAATTAAATACTGAGTTCATTCCCATATTAAATGTACTTGAAAGGGTTTTGAACATATTGTCTGTGATTGTAATGTTCAATGTAACATTTTCAGTGTTAGTATTGCATATATATGGAGCAGCTGTGATAAAAAACCTGACAATTAAGTGATATCTTATCATATTGTATTCATTGGAATGTATAGTTAACAAGCCATGCTGAAATAAACTACTAATGGTTTGATTAATGAAGGAAATATTTGTATCACAACCTGATAATGATGAATGGTGAGTACAGACATGAAAGGGTGAGACTTGTACACATATCATGATAACTTGTGAATCAATTATACTACCATAACGCCATCAGATATCTTAATATATAAAAGTAACTTCCAATTTTCCATAGAGCTTATTCTTTCAGTAATCTGATTGGTTGTTGTGGTTTGTGATGAGAAATCTAACATCTCATGGTGATCTCTACTGCCCAGTCACACCTGCTTTTCTTAGCAAGCCCTGTTGTGACATTACTCACATCTACTGATTTGATTGCCCTAAAAATAGTGAGCACACGGTTGACATTTGCTCACAAGTCACAACCAACTCTACCTCAAATACCAGACAATTGGATTTCCCCTGATGACACCTCAGATATGATGATGTACCACAAGACACAGTCAAGAAAGAGCAAACTACATCCGTCCTTTGTTCGAACAATGCTAACTAACTAATTCAATTATTATACTGCTGTTTTCAATATATGTTAACTTTGATGCAATTACATGTTAATATTGATGCAATTACACAGCACAGTGCCACACAGGTAGAAAACTGAAAGTAATTTCAACCTGATATGGGCTAGCTAACCCTGACATGATTAGACATGTATTTACCGTGTTTATTGAGATGACAACATGTTTATTCAAATGTTTTAGGATCATTTTCCCTGACAACCAGCAGTGTGTCATCACCAGGCAGAAGCTGTCACTCAAAGGCCCTTTAAGAGAGGGAAGTAGCTAACGTAGGATAAAATGCACCAAATACTCATTTACTTTCAATAAAAACGACATGGAAATCTTACCTTTGCTGTGCGTCAGTTCAGCACGAAGCTACAGATGACATGCCATTTCAAATATCCATCTTATTTAGATACAGGTTTCTGAAAACAAGCTCCCGTAATAACCTCTGATTAGCTGAATGGCTAGCGTCCTGAGAAGCTAAATATCAGGCTAAAGTTAGCATAGCGAGCTGATAAACAGAAAACATGCTGGCAGAAAACTGTCACCCTCTACAGTGAGATTTCAGCATTTAGGTAAATCTACTCTCCATGGGAAATAGGTTGAATAAATACAGTGTATCGCTACAGAAATGAGATATATTATTTACAGAAGACGACCTCACAAACGCCATGCTCTCCCCAACGGACATTGGTCAATCGTTTCATTCTCAAGCGCTGATTGGCTGTTCATTGTGTTTGTGTAATCAAGTCCCACCCTCTGGGGTTTTCCCATGAATGGCAGCACACGTAGTTAGGTTGAACTGTAGATTTCAGGGCAGAGGATGCTGTCAGTGGTGGAAGAAGTAATTACTGTGCTTCCTTTTTGTTCCATTGTTTAAAATGTGTACATGTCGTTAAGCTGTGCCGTATATACTTCACATACTGAAACTATGTCCATGTGCTCTGGAAATACGCGTAAATGATGGCAAGATATTTGTGGATTTTTCTTCGATAATAATGAATGTTCTACTAATCAACTTTTTTACTGTTCAACTCAATACATGAATACTTTTATCCCTTAAAACATGTACTATATATTAAGACAAGCAAACACATTATACATTATTAAAACTGTGAGATTGTGCTTAAAATACTTAATGTATAACTTGTAATATAATGTATTTAATGTAAAGTTCATTTGCGTTTATATATGTGTTCCATTTGAAATATTGCAGTATTTTACATGATTAAATTGTTAACTGAAAATTAAACATTTAAGTATTTACTGTAATACATTTACTTAAATAGTATTATACATCATTTTATACTAGGTTACATATTGTATTATTATTATTAGTGATGCATTCATGTAGCAGAACTAATTGACCACTCCTTTACTGTTGAGATCATCACATGTTTTGGTTGAAAGCAAGCTGCCAGGCCATAAATGTAGTGCAATATAACAAACATCACATATTGAGGTAAAGTATAACGTAAAATAGGATAAAATTGTACCTTCCAACCTAAACCTAAAAAAGACAAAACAAGACACAGTTGTTGATTTAAATATTTTGTGTATTTAGAAAAACTAACCAAGATACACAAGAGCTAACACATTTTGCTCTTCACATCTTTACATAAAATATTTCATATAATAAATAACAACACAATCTTAATGCAATACAAACAGCTATTGTCTAACTTTATACAAAATCAGAAGATAAGTCTTGACTCCCGTTGTTTCATCTCCTCTACTTCCTCCAAACTGAGGTCATTGTTTCTCAACCTGCAGAGTAAATACAAAGGGACACAAATCGATAAATGAAACAGCCAGTTGCACATCCAGTGCAAAGGCACAACCAGTTTGGAAATGGAAATGAAGCTTAAAATCTAAATATCAAACGTTGAGCCAAGTAGGATTTAGTATCAACAGCCACATGTTTTCTTTACAAGGAAACAAGCAGAACCAGTAGCCTATGCCTTAGCCTTAATCCGGAATGTAAACAACCACCAGGCATGCATGACTTAAGCCACAGAATAAACATTACGCACCACACTGATTTCACATGGGTGTTGTGTTGCATCGCTTGAATCAGACTTTCCACTCCTGATCTGGTTATGTGGTTCTCTGTCAACCTTTTGAAACAGGAGGGTGGAGAAAGGGTGGAGCAATGTAAATACTACAGTACTAATGACAAAATTAATAATGTGTGGATACAAATTTCATTGTGTTTTCAATACAAGTATAACTTGTCTCCAACACTTACCACAGGTCTTCCAGTGACGTACAGTTCTTGATGATGTTGGAGAGGGCACATGCTCCGGCACTCCCCACTCCATTGTCTACCAAGCTGTCATTACATTAAATTAGAGTTATAATCAGATAAAGTAGTCCACAGCTGCAGGAACAGGTACTGCTTAAAACATGCTATATTTGAAATATTTTCCGACTTGTAACTTGCTGTTAGACAGCCCTTTCCAAAAGGGAATAGAGCCGTTATCTGTGCTACTTTAAAGCCGCCAGACTCCATTAACAAAAAATATACCTTGCAGAACATGAGGGTTACTGGTCTACCGCTGCCTTGTTATTGAGTGAATTTGGTGGTCCAGAATAAGACTCTATTGTCACAGAATAACACAAAGTCACTTATCGATGAAGTCAGCGTTAGACCAGCAACTTCTGTGTTCTGCGAAGTCAAATTGTTGCTGTTGTCACTGGAGTTTGGTTGCTTTAAATAGAGCAAGATCATGGATCGTTGATAATGGAATTTTGTTTTATGTGGCTGCTTAAACAAAAGTACATTGCTCTGCTTTTGTGTTATTACTCCTTTTCGTTTCTGAACATCACCTATTGTAGATTATACACTCTGGATAGGTGCCTTATACCACTCCATATCAAACCATCCAAACTACCCCTTTAAATGAACCAAACGTAGCGTTACTCAAAGCAAATGTTACCTGAGCCACACCAAGGTTTTGCTGTTCTCTAGGGCAGTGGCAAGGGCTTCTGCTCCTGCATCTCCTATCTTGTTGCCCCATAGTCTGGGGATATAAGGATTGTAGGTACGTTTATAGAAATATCCCACCAATGAGATGCATTCACTTGTTCAGGAGGACTTTTACCCTAAATACTCCAGTGAGTGGTTGCATTTCAGTCCCTCTGCCAACTGCTTTGCTCCTTTTTCTGTTAGATTATTGTTGCCTAGCCTGGAAGAAAATAGAGAAGTTCATTTTCCATTCATTTTACAGTAAATGTACTGTATGTGGTATTACGTTACATTTAGTGTCACAGTTAGTGTATGCGCTGACCTCAGAGAAACAAAGTTCTGCTTTATCTTCAGAAGGCGAGAAAAGTGCTGTGTGCATGCATCCGTTAGATTGTTGTTGAAGAGCCTACAGACATACAAATGGTCATGAAATGTTATTGTTAAACATCACTTGTGATTTCCTGATCATCTTGACATCACTTACGCAATTTTCTTGAAGTGTTCACACTGGATAGTTTTAGCAAGTAGTTTGCGGATCCCCTCGTCTGTGATGTTATTATTTCTGAGGCTGAAAATTGAAGTATAAAGGAAACTTGAGCAGTGGTGGAAGAAGTATTTCGATATTTATCGTAACTTAAGTAAATGTAGTAATACCATCTTGTCGAAATACCACAAGTCCTGCATTCAAATTGAAAGTTAAAATGTTTTGGCACTAACCTAAAGTAAAAGTGCTAAGTATTCTGAACGGTCAAATAAAAAAAACAATATTCAATTAGGATATCATATTTGATGCAATAACGATTATGTTAATTTAATATTGCGGCTGGTAGAGATGAGGTTTATTTCTTACTAGTTATATTGCACACTGAATAATTAACTTAATATTGTATTAATATATGATTCTACAAAAAAACTACTAACTCAATGTGTTAAATCTATGTGTGGGCATAAAAATGTACATTATTTTCTTCTGAGATTTAGTGGAGTTGAATTATATAGTAGCATGAAATAGGAGTATAAGATCTTGAGTAAATGTACGTAGTGACTTTCCATCATTTCACTTGAACATGAGATGTATTCTTTCCTTTAAATAATGCTTTTGTGGAAGCTTTGTTCACAAAAATGTACAGATTGAAGGGCACATTTTAACTTGTCATACTCACTATAGGGAATTGCAGATGTGCATGCAGGGGAGGAGCTGCTCCACTCCAACGTCGCCCACAGAGTTGTTGTCCAGCTGCAGGCCGACAGGATTCCTTAAATGCTGCAGCACATAGGCTAGAGCCGTGCACTCTACAGGACCGATGTTACAGTAGGTCAGTTTCAGGTGGTCCACCTCCAGCTTACTCATGGCGTCTTTAGCAACCCTGTCCTCCTGCATCTCATAGATGCATTTGATAAGCCAGACGAAGCCTGGCATTGCATGCATGCTCTTCTTCTCCCCCTCTACGGGCTGAGGGATGGACTTAAAGTGTTTCTGCATGCCTTTGGATAAGCATTTCACCACCTGTCTGACCCTCTTCTCCATCACAGCGCTGGGGCAGCAGTGGAGCCACAGGTTTCGATGGCGCTGTGACAAAAGTCCAGACACAAAGGTGGCTGTGATTTGCCGATTTGGCGTTTCAGCGGCTGTAGTTTCCCCCCCTGAAGGCCGCTGTGGTTGGTCAGTAGAAGGCAAGCAGGCGATGAAGCATCTGCTGCTCTGACCTGCCTCCTTAATTTTCTGCGTCTCAAAGAGCTTAGGGATAGTTGAGCGGTCAGTGTTATCCGACAACACGATGTACAAAGCTGCAAAGAAACATTGCATAGTCAAGTGAAGGAATTCATAACCTTCAGCGTGGGTGGATATATCTTTACTCTGCATGAGAAAACCCATGCAGATGTCCTTCTCAGTCACACCACATGTCTCCAAGTCTGTGCCTGAGAAGATGTAACAGGTTGCTCCTATCCCATCAAAGGCAAGCTTCCCAAGATGCAACACAGTTTGCAGATGCTGCTGAAGCCAACATAGCCCTGTAGTGTTCTTCAGGGAGCTTTGGTGCTGGAAAAAGTGCTGCAGGATCATTAGGTAAACGTCTGTGATTGTTTGTAGGCTGCCCTCTCCGCAGCCTAACAACTCTTTATGGCACTGTGAGACGATCCAGCACAGGACTGGACTATGACACAGTCCGAGTAACGCAGTGTTTGTCCGCAAGGACTCCAAAACCTTAGCAGCCACATGGGCGTCGCTGTGATGCTTCCTCACAAAACAGTCAATCCCACTTGGGGAAAAGCCTTTGAGGAGGACCTCTTTGCAGAGATGTTTCTTGAACAAAGGGCCCACCGCCTCTGGGCGACTGGTCACCACTTTCCTCACACCCTTCATTAGGGAACCCTGGATTAAGTTGAAGAGTAGGATGTGAACAGGAGCCCGCTGGGTGGGGCAGCAGAGCCTGTGCTCATCTGAAAAGCTCTGCTTCAGCTCATCCAGGCCATCGAAGGTGAAGAGGATGAGATGTGGGTGGTCCAGGATGAACTGGAAGATCTCCTCCTGCTGTCTGTCCGGCCAGCAGCAGTGCTGAAACAGTAGCTCCTGTAGAGAGAGTTCCCTTTGCTCGGAGTTCAACCTGCGACAGCTGAACGGGAACAGAAGGAGGAAGTCCTGCAGCGCTGCCCCCCGAGCCCAAAGCAGGTGCAGCCTCTGGAGTAAAGTGCTCTTTCCTCCGCCCGCTTCCCCCGAC